TGGCTTCTCTAAAAATTGCAAAACTATCATCTCGAGGGGCGCAAAGTAACAGTAGTGCAAAACCCTGTTCCCTGGCGTGCTCTACTCCCTAGCTGCCAGCCTTCCTTTCAGGAGTTACAGAAAGAATATCGCTTACTCTCTACTTGTGTTAAAAACAGGGCTTTGTATCCATGAGCAAATTGGTCACTGCAAGCCTGGTTACCTCGTATATACAGGATATTTTCACTCTGCCATTTGCCATGTTGAGGGCCATACTTCACTTGGCTGTTCCCATTACCTGAATAACCGATGTTCTCCTCCTGAAGCAGGTTTTCATAGTGTTGTTGGATTTGCTTGGTTGGTTTTAAAAAAAAAAACAACCATGTATCTTAGTGCTGAGGAGGTAAGTGACAAGCCCAAGAGAGTAACACTGAGCTGCCCTTTGGGTCTCCCTGCCGCAAAACCAAGTATGCCACTCAAGTTTCTCTTCTGCTCTTCTAAAGAGAAAAATGCTTTATTCTTAGAACGATGCAAAACCCAATACCAATAAAACAGCTGCTACGCTGCAACTGTTTAGGGCTGCAGAGCTGTCTCTGGCTCTGAAGAGGTTCCTCAGACTGAGATATGAGGGCCAATTTTAGGCAGCCCTCAGCTGGCGACTGAGTGGCTTTAGGAACTCAGCCCCTAAAAGTAGTTCCTTCCACACCCTGTACCCCCAAATCTTTCAGTAGGCTAATGCTGCCCCAAAAGAGGGGCAGGTTTTGAAGCCTGGGTGGCCTTGGCTTGAGCTGTCCAGGCCAAATCAGCAGTACAATCCCTAACAAGTTGTTTGGTTCGATTTTTATAAGTAAGTAAGTTCTGTGTCTTTAGAAATTGTCCTGCCTGTCAGTCAGCCCCCCTAAGTCGCCAGTCTCTATCAAATCTGAAGGAGGCAGGGACGTCACCAAAATGACTGCAAGTACTGCTCGCCCGCTGGTGGCGTTACAAACGCCTCAAGTGTCACTGAACTACCTTTTTTTTTTTTTTGCTCATCTTACGAACCCTTTTTTCTTACATTTGAGAGTTGCTAAACTTTTTTTTAAGAAGAAACATGTATTTGTCTATTGACATCTTTCAGCTATTAAAGCAATGAATGTTTCAGCTGCTTCTTTATTCCATTGTACTTTAAAAAAATTATTATTTATTTAATGTTGGAAGCTAAGGCCAAAAGTTCATAGTTGAGATGGCTGTGAGTAGCATCAGACAGACAAGGTTTTGCAGATAATACAGCTGACCTGATACTTAAGGAATAGATGTAGTAAAGATTTAGTGCCTAAAACTGCAGGGGCCTGCTACCCATAGTGCAGGGTGATCGCAATTCCTGCATCAATTACCGTCCAATGGCTTCTGCTTCAGAGGTTCATTTGGGAGTGAGGCTACTAATAAGGCGCTGGAAGAAATGTGGACGTGTCGGAGAGCAGGGCCCTTGAACACCTGCTTGCCGAGTGCGAGGGAAGTGGGGCTGGTGCCCAGGATCTGCTGAGAGATCACTGAACTACTTTTTTTTTTTTTTGCTCAGCTTCACGGACCATTTTTCTTACATTTGAGAGTTGCTAAACTTTTTTTTAAGAAGAAACATGTATTTGTCTATTGACATCTTTCAGCTATTAAAGCAATGAATGTTTCAGCTGCTTCTTTATTCCATTGTACTTTAAAAAAATTATTATTTATTTAATGTTGGAAGCTAAGGCCAAAAGTTCATAGTTGAGATGGCTGTGAGTAGCATCAGACAGACAAGGTTTTGCAGATAATACAGCTGACCTGATACTTTGGTAAAGATTTAGTGCCTAAAACTGCAGGGGCCTGCTACCCATAGTGCAGGGTGATCGCAATTCCTGCATCAATTACCGTCCAATGGCTTCTGCTTCAGAGGTTCATTTGGGAGTGAGGCTACTAATAAGGCGCTGGAAGAAATGTGGATGTGTCTGAGAGCAGGGCCCTTGAACACCTGCTTGCCGAGTGCGAGGGAAGTGGGGCTGGTGCCCAGGATCTGCTGAGAGCATATGCCCAGCCTGGCGGCAGTTTCAGGAACGCAGGACTCCAAGAAAGTACCTTCTCCCTTTGGGATCCTGGACTGGGACGAGCTTACAAAAATTTAAAAAAGCAGCTCCTGGTATGTGACAATGCCTGGGAATACACTGGAATATCGTTCCATCAGTGCCAAGCTGTTCTAGAGGGGCTATCTACCAAAGAGTGTTTGGGGTGGGTTGGGGTGTTGTCTCAATACTCAACCAGCCAAAGTTTACGGTCTGCCTTAATCTGAAGAGATCGGACTCAATCACACACAGAAAGTGAAAACCCGTTTGTTGCTGAGTATTTCGTTAGGGCTGGGTTTAAGCTTTCCAGCAAAACCTGCCCTCTTATTACTGTCTATTGAAGAGAGACATACTCATGATCAGCTCTTTGCTTTAGAAGATGGGTGACTTCATGGCAAAGTGCCGATTTTTCAAATCAGGGGATGTTTGTTATTTCACCCTCTTGCTGACTGCATCTGACACACGTGGGTACAAAGCTCTGACTGCAGCTGCCGCCAGCTGGGTAACGGGTTCACTTGCAAACATTGCTGCAGTTCTCCGTTTAGAACTTCTTAACAAGGGGTAATTTTAGCTTCTGTCATTTTTACCTCAAACTGAGTTAACCTCTGTTTCAGCTGACATCCAAGCTGGAAGGTATTATCAGAAAAGGCATCTTCCTGGACTACTGTTCTCTGGACTACTTTTAGGTTTCTAGTTTAATCGCTAGGGATTGATTAAAACTGTCCTAAAATTAACTGTGATACTGTATACCCATCTATGAAAACCCATTTGTCTATCTCCTCATGGATAAATGATTTCTCAAGAACACTCCATTTAAACATCTCGTCTTTTAAAGCCTTTTTGTCTTTTTAATAATGTCTGATTGTCTCCTAAATTTACTAAATTATATTTTATTATTATTTACTGCTGCAAAGATTCTGATTTTTGTCTTCAGTGTCAAAATAAACTATACAAATGAGATACGAACTTCAGCAGTCAAGACTGCTTCTAAGAAGGTATCTAAAGAGCTTTTAACACTTGGGGTTTTTGGTGGCACAGAGAAAGATTTCACTTCAACAGCTTTTGACATTGGCTCTTACTCAACTACAGTTTTCAAGCAACTAAGACTATTTTAAAATTACATAGCTGGTTTTTATGCTTTCTTTTAGCAAAAGAACTTTTTCCTAATCTGTATATTATTAATACAATCCTCCAACTTATTACTTATTGTTATTAAAACACTCAACTCTATTAAATGAAAATCAATTAAGTTTTCTAAACCATGTCAGTAAGTTGCGCACACACAATGAATCTTCTCTGAACATACTAACCTGCAGTGGAAAAAACCAAGATTAAAATCACTAACACAGAAGTTTGTGAATGCGAATACCTTGCCACCATGACTGAAGAGTGAAATTGGCGCTTTGTTGGTTAAGTACAATCAGTTTTGCATAGATTAGATGAGCGATAGATCTCTCTTGAACACATGACAATCTCATAAAAAGAGGACATTTAAAACCAAAAAACATCAGTTGTGCTGACAGTGCTTTAGGAATTAAAAGCCTCATTCTTGGCACTCTACTTCAAGACAAAACTCATAATCCACATGTCAGAATTATAAGCCTGAAGAGTATAGAAGCAGAAAGGAGAACCCGTAATGATGAGCGATAGATCTCTCTTGAACACATGACAATCTCATAAAAAGAGGACATTTAAAACCAAAAAACATCAGTTGTGCTGACAGTGCTTTAGGAATTAAAAGCCTCATTCTTGGCACTCTACTTCAAGACAAAACTCATAATCCACATGTCAGAATTATAAGCCTGAAGAGTATAGAAGCAGAAAGGAGAACCCGTAATTGTACTTTTCAAAAAAAAACTTTATTTTTTTAATTAATATACACCTGAGAAAAGTTTTCATTAGAACAACATACAATGATATTTGTAATTGTACTTTTCAAGAAAAAAAACTTTATTTTTTTAATTAATATACACCTGAGAAAAGTTTTCATTAGAACAACATACTTAATGATATTTCTGCAGTGCTAGTGAGTTTGATATACATTTCTATCACATGTGCAAACAAGGTATTGGGGTATTTGAAAAATTTAAAAGCTTCATCTTGAAAAAAGGAGCTTTGTCAGAATCAAATATAAAACATAAGTACTGCCTGAAATAAAAAACAAAACCCAACATACTGGTCCACAAAATGGTTATACTTTTAGCTTTATAAATATGTCTGTAAACAGAAATAGCTGGTGTTTTAAATAATCTGACTACAAAACTCAGAGTTAAATATTTTTATTGCTAAGTGCAGCCACTTGTTCTCCTGTTTACCACTCACTTCGAAAGCCGTGCAAACCAGCAGTCCTTCCACACACACAGAAAAAAAAATAATTCTCTGTGCACTAAAAATTACTCGCTTGTTTATCATTTTAAAAACATACCCATCTATTTAATTCTTAATTATTTTGATTCAGAGTGTTCCATGACAAGCTAATATATTACTCATTCACCTTTGCTGCTAAGCTGTATTGCACCAAGAATATTTAAATCTGTTTTGTATAGACCAGGGATAGTGAAGAAACAGATGGTCTGTAGTAGTTTATCTGGAAAACGTTAATACTTTTTGTAAACTCATTTTAGCAAAGCTATTGCTAACTGACCCGTTTATCTTGAAGACACTTCTTTATCACAAGTAATTAAAACAATCTAAATAAAATCAGTATGCCAAATAACACCAACTCTGTTACTGAACACAAAGACATGCATTAAATTCTAGAAATTAAAAATGTATACAACTGCAAGAAAAAAAGAGCAGCAAGTTTTAAATGTGCATATGTTGTCAAAACAAAATAGAATTCAAACAGTCCGGGTAAAGACCCACTTCAACCCATGCAAGTCTGCAGAGTTCACATCCATCTTATAAACATGAACTATATGCATGCAACTAATAAATTTTAACTTCTTAAAGTTCATAAACCTTTTTAAGGCTCTTAAGATCTTCCAAAGAGTACTGATGATTCTGGTTTTCTGAAAGTAAGTCAAACAGTTGCTGAACCTGTTCTTTTTCGTTTTTACTAAGAAGAGCCAGCACCACCTGAAAAAACAGGTTATTTTAAAATCAGCACAGGTTGATTGAAAATCATAGTATTTGACAGAGATACAAAATCAGTGTATCATTTCATTTTAAGATATGAAAATTTCACTTAAGTTTCTGTTCAACTTAAGTACGCATTCAATCTAGGTTCTTACCTTAAATCTTTCTGCTTTGCTCAAGTAGAAAAGGTGCTGATATACAAGGCCAGGATCTTTTCCAAGTACGTAATATTCCAACGACTGGATAAAGATCACAAGGATTTCTCCTTCAAGTTTGTTACTTAGCAGCATTGGCAGTTTTTTTGGATCACCTTCAAGTTTGTTACTTAGCAGCATTGGCCCTTTTTTTGGATCGGTAATTGTTAAAAGATCTGCACACGCAGCTTTATCCTTATTGGTATTCACTGCATTTATAATCTGACCAAAGTCATAAGCATTAGATGGCTCAGAAATGTGCAGTTTCTCAGAGGTCTTCAGTGGCTCACAATTTTGAACTGTTTCCTTAGAAGTAACATGATCAGTCACAACATCTTCTGATGTAGAAAACTGTCTCTCCTCCTGTTCATCAGATTCAGTCACCTTCACAAAGAAAATGGCAACAAATCATTTTAATGTGGACATACAGATAATCTGAAGCTTCATAAACTGCATGCATATATCCATCAATAATGTCACTAAATTAAAGTTCGCATTTTACTCTTCATAAAAGAAAGGCACCTATGTTCTTTTATGTCCTGCTTCCCACCAGAACAGCACCTCTCTCATTCATCTTTAAAGGTTTGTAGTCAAAAGTGTGTATTTCACATTTCCTTTCACTGCTTGGCACTCCGCTATAGAAAGACAACTGAAGACCACTGAGAGAAAGCTAAGGAGGACTGTATCCATATATTAAATGTGAAGTTGCAGAAGATAAGCAGAACTGAAGTCAAGTCACCAGATACCCATGTTTCATTTCACTGCTGTGCCTTCAGAATAATACAGGTATATGGCAGCTGTATCAGGTTGCTGTTTGGAGTCTCGCTGTGGAAGGAGAAAGCTCAGCATGGCCTAACTGCCTGAATGCCCACTTAACTTCTCCAGAGTTTGCAGCCTGTATCGAATTTCATGAATCAGTCGCTAGAAAATTAACCATGGGTTCCACTACATTTGCTAAAATCCATTTCAAGCTATTAAGAGTTGTGGAATTAGTATAAACTGACTAAAACTCATTGAACGGGGTCTCTTCAACGGTTGCCAAGTTTTTCGGAAAGTCTGGAGAGACTGTATTGCATAGTACAGCGTTGTGCTGGCATCTAGATTAGTCATTTTTGGAAAATACTGCATTGGGCTCATAGACATTTTGTTCTATTTTTTCAACAACCCTTATTATCAAAAGAGAAATCTTGACTGTCTTCTATATAATTATAGCTTGATTAAAATGGAATAATAATGATAAATCCTGGTTTCTAATCAAATTTTCCTTACTTTTATTTGCAGTCTGTTTTCATAGAACTACCTTGTACTACAGCAGGTAAGATGGGGAAGGCTCTCTAAGGGGGCAGCTGTAACTATGATAGCAAACATAAATGCTTCCTGCCCCACCCCTGGAAAAATGACCACTGCCAGTAATGTAGTTAGCTGAACAATGCTGTCACTTCCCAAACCTCCTCTAAACACTTTCCAGGTCCCTTTGTTTGTCACAACTCAGAGCTTAACTAACACTATAGCCGGCTTACACCAGTTACATAAAATGCCATGAACTCGTGACAATGTGGTGTTTCAATAAAACAAGCTGTTTCTATATTAGTAACTGCAGTTTCCATTATACCACCATTTTGAAATTACATGATCAAATTACAGTATCACTGTATAATACTGTACAGACTGGTAAACTATGTATTTTAACGATATATTTTAAACTGAAAAGGGACACCCCACCAGTTACATAAAATGCCATGAACTCGTGACAATGTGGTGTTTCAATAAAACAAGCTGTTTCTATATTAGTAACTGCAGTTTCCATTATACCACCATTTTGAAATTACATGATCAAATTACAGTATCACTGTATAATACTGTACAGACTGGTAAACTATGTATTTTAACGATATATTTTAAACTGAAAAGGGACACCCCCCCCCCACACACACATTCTTAAAAGACCAGCAAAGTTATAATCCAAAAATACCAGATGACTGAGAAAATCCTTTTATCGCCTAATTCTACCCAGAACTCTGCAAGGCTAACATTTTGATCCAGTACATAACATTACATCATGTATTTCTTTCATAAGATCCTACAGATATTTTACCCACACTCTTGCTCTTTAAGGCAAGATTTCAGTCTTCAGACCAGTAACTTTACTACTAGCACAAGTAGTAGTCATTGTCAGCACACTGTCAGCACACCTGCTGACAATGAACCTTTGCCAGCACAGCCCCAGGGGCTTCCCAAGTAGTACAGACTTTAAAAGCAAAACTGCTATTTGACAGCTGTATTCTGTAAAACAGTTTTTGTTTACAAGGAGCATATCCTCAAGTTTAGTGCCACCTAAATGTACTTTTTTCCATTTCTGCTGAATACACTTCAAGGAAGTCCAAGCTTTACTATAGAACCTAATGGATGCCAAACACATCAAATGCAAGAATCCTCCAATATGCCCTCAAAATAACATGAAAAATACAACCCTACCAAAAAAAAGTGTAGAGCTAACAAGTGCAAAACAAAAGCTTTAATATTATCTCTTCAAATGTGTGGCTTCTGTACTGCCTGCTGTTAAAAATGAACAGGTATACCTCTTGTATGGTTATTTTCTTCCTTTGCTTTTGCTGACCACCAACTACAGCGCTGCTGTCAAGGTTAAGCAGTTGGGTTATCTCCTCTAGTTCCTTTTTTGCTTCAAGAACATTTGGATCTATTAGAAGTACTCTGTTGAAATCATCAACACTGGCTTGATAATTCTGGAAGTAGAAGGGAAAATATTTGTTTTCATAAACACACCACTAGAAAAATAAATTAGAATTACCATATGGCCCTTTACAATTAAGAAAAATAAAAATGCTAGGATGTTGACATTAAATAGAAAAAAATAATCTAAATACAGTGTAATTTCATTAGAGGGGAAAAAAGGAAACTGAGGATGAGTTCCAGTTAGTATTTTGCAACTAAATACTTCCATATTAAATATGTAATATGAAATTGTTTATTCTGAGAAACGTATTCCCTGTATCAGAGAACAGATTATTGAAGACTGCTGCTTTTAAGCATAATTGCTTACAGTGTAACACTTCCTCAAGATTAATATAATGTGAGCCCATCAACAGTCTGCGTACTAGCTTTGCCAATAGAAGAGAGTTAAATTAAGCTTAGATTAAAAATATACCTAATCTTCCTGTGCTTCAATCCAATAGACCATCTCTTACAGTTTAAGAAGGGAAATTTTTGGTTATACTTGAGAAGACTGGGATTACATTATGAACTCTGGGACAAACAACAGGATTAGAAGGACAAACATAGTGATAAGAGTGGCATTAGGACATAGTTCCTCAATCATCAGTCTTGTCATTTGTTTAATGTTTTTATTTCAAATTTTGACATTAGGAATTATGATTTTTTAGACTAAATTTTCTGGAGAGACAAAGTTAATAGCGTCAATTCTGAGGAAGACTGGAATATCACATAGAAAAATCAAGACACCTTGAGGACTAGAGTATCAAAAATAAGGATGAAATGTAACAGTAAACAGTAAAAGACCATGCAGACAGTAAAAGCTCAACATAATTTCTTTGTCTGAGGGACCTAATATTTCTTCTGTTCCCAAGCAGTATCATAAGGTTACTATAAGTCATTCATATATCATGAAAATAATCCTCATGTACCAGCTGAGGTACTTCCTCAGCATCTCAACTGTAATGGGCCAAGGCCAACTGTATGAGGTTCAACAAGGACAAGTGCCGGGTCCTGCACTTCGGCCACAACAACCCCATGCAGCGCTACAGGCTTGGGGAAGAGTGGCTGGAAAGCTGCCTGGCGGAAAAGGACCTGGGGGTGTTGGTTGACAGCCGGCTGAACATGAGCCGGCAGTGTGCCCAGGCGGCCAAGAAGGTCAATGGCATCCTGGCCTGTATCAGAAATAGTGTGGCCAGCAGGAGTAGGGAAGTGATCGTGCCCCTGTACTTGGCACTGGTGAGGCCACACCTCAAATACTGTGTTCAGTTGTGGGCCCCTCACTACAAGAAGGATGTTGAGGTGCTGGAGCGTGTCCAGAGAAGGGCAACGAGGCTGGTGAGGGGTCTGGAGAACAAGTCTTATGAGGAGCGGCTAAGGGAACTGGGGATGTTTAGCCTGGAGAAAAGGAGGCTGAGGGGAGACCTCATCGCTCTCTACAACTCCCTGAAAGGAGGTTGTAGCGAGGTGGGTGTTGGTCTCTTCTTCCAAGTAACTAGCGATAGGACGAGAGGAAACGGCCTCAAGTTGCACCAGGGGAGGTTTAGATTGGACATGAGGAAAAATGTCTTTACTGAAAGAGTGGTTAAACATTGGAACAGGCTGCTCAGGGAAGTGGTTGAGTCCCCATCCCTGGAAGTATTTAAAAGATGTGTAGATGCGGCGCTTAGGGACATGGTTTAGGGGGCATGGTGGTGTTGGGTTGACGGTTGGACTCGATGATCTTAGAGGTCTTTTCCAACCTTAATGATTCTATGATAATAAAAGCACTAGTGTACAAGTCACTCATATTCTCTTTCCTACGTGGAATATTTTGTTCCACACCAACAACCAGTATTCAAGGTGCAGAGAGGTTGCGCTAAGTCTGTAAGTGAACTGAAGTCTGCTATATCATGAAAGAAGAGTAAGAGAACTAGAATTATTTAGCCTTAGCAAATGAATGCAGAAAGGAGGCAGATTGCTTTCATCAAAAACCAGCTACTAATTAAGCTAAACCATTTGAATTACAGATGTGAAGATTCACAACTACAGATAAATAAGATTCTGAAACAGACTTCTGAAAATGATCACAAGGGCCAGCAACCAGCCAGCCCTCCTGGATTTAAAACTGCAGCCTGCCAGACTTCTCAACAAAAATCATACCATATGGTTGTACCCATAGGCAAGAGACTGGACTATCAGCTGTAGAAGATGCGGTCCAGGGTCCTGTGTCCTATGTTATAGGCCTAATTCATCACACCAGCATGACTTTTTCCTGATCTTCCCTTAACTACATCTCAGTAAATCTATAAAAACAAACCTCATTTACTACATTAAATTCCACTGCAGCTTCTGTGGTTAAATATCTGGATATTTATATACAAACAACACTTCCCAGCTTAGTTACGTCTTTGCCAAACTACATGCTTTTAGCTCTTAAAATTTTTCATTACAGAGTCATTTGTCAACCCCAAATCATTTCTGTTGCTTTCTCTGGTTTTACGAATCACTCACATCCCTGGAATTCGCAATAATGAAGGCATTAAATCCAACCACAACAAAACATTTTGGGAGTCCCCAGCTCAGACTGTTCTGAAGGAATCCATTAACAGTATGTTTCAGGTTATGTCTTCAATAATACAAAAATAGTAATTTTTTCCAGGATATTCAAAAAAGCAGAAGTTATTTCACCGATTCTTGACATTCTTTACTAGTACATAAGTCCCTTTTTTTGACCGGTAGAATCACTATATACCTTTGCTCATATTTATACTAATTTTTTATCAACTTCAACAACATAAGGTTACAGATGATTAATACCAGGTAGCTTGGAACAGTTACAGAAAAGATTTTACACAAAATTAAGACTTTTCACCTTCTCTGAAAATTAAAGGAAACTTTCAAAATTTCATAGCTACTGTAACAGAGGAACAAATTTATCATAAAAAAAAGATCCCATGGTTCCTAAGACTTGCATTTGGAATTCTAACACAGAGTGAGAACAGGCTACTATACTGCTATGCACAAACAGGTTGTCCTCAGGTGATCTGTAAGCTGAGAGACAATCAGGTAATTTTTTGTTAAGGCATCAAACATAATGGAGGTCTGAGGTAAGTATTCATTTGACAGACACTGCTGGAACTTGGTGGACACTTGGAGTGATCACCTCCAGTTATAAAGAGCAACATGGGAGAAAGCACTTAGGATGCTTCTTTAAAGACACTTGTAAAATTTAAGACAAGGTAGATGATGATAGCTGCCATCATGAGCCAACAGAAGTGAGAAGCTGATCATTCAATACCAGGTAAGAGCTGACAGGTAGGGTAAGGATTGCTATGAAAGAATTACAAAGTGTAGAGGCTAATTAACATCACTGAAGAAGGGGAACCAGAGGGATGGACAAAAGGAACGACATAGTTCAAGTGATGGAACACGAGATTTGCAGTCACATTCAGGATTAATATGAGCAATATAAATCTGCATTTATGAAGATAAGGTAAAAGGATACTCAAAAAAACTGTAAGATGAGCACAGTACAGACACCACCACCACTGTGTAGATGGAAAAGGTTGAGCCCCGACACTGTCCACAGAGTGAGGAAGTAGATTACTGACAAAGGTTCCTAACACGTTTGGAGAAGGAAGAGAGTAGAACAAAGATAATTAAAACCCTGGTTTAATATGACAAGCACTCAAATATGAGCAGATGCCAAAAGACAGCTTGAGATTTTAGTTTGGACAGATGAAGACAGTTTTGGAGAGAAACCATTTGTCATTAGCAAAGATATAGTAAACATCTTGACAGAAAAAACAGACTGGGATACCCAGAAGAATATTAGAACAGAGTTGAAACTTGCTTAACCAATCTCCAGTCAAACCTCATTTATTCCAATATTCTTGTATTTTCTCAAATTATTACAAGTCAACATGCAGGTTTTTATATTGCAAAAATATTTATATAATATTTATGCATACCTAATGCTCTACAAAGTAATAAATCGTCAGCACTGCATACTTTGTTTGTATTCACCCATCGACTCCAGCTACCTGATTGCCTTTGAAGAGGATAAGCAAGTTTAGAAGTGCTTAAGAATACCTGCCACGGTCTTTTTCCTCACCTGTAATCCTTTGTATGCTAGTGCTCTTCTATAAAAAGCTTTAATATTAGAATCTTATTTCTGAAGAACATGATCACAATCCTGCTTAGCCTCTTCATATTTATACAGTTTCAAGTAACAGAGAGCTCTAACACAGAAAAACAGAATACACTGCAATATAAGTAAATTCTACAGTGCTGTAGTGCCACAGTATCTGACTTATGTTAATTACAATACTTCACACACTTCAGTCTCAATGTGGTATTTTTTAAAGTACATCAAAACCGGTAAGTATTAATAACATCACTGGATGGATTTAGAGAGGGCCAATTCCTGCAATAAAAGTCAAAATTAAAGTATGACTAATGCCTGAAGTTAGGCAGATATGTAAGTATTTTAAAAGCAGAGCCTATGTTAGTATAATATAATAGTATAGTAGTGGATATAGTATGGATTTTATACAGCCATTCTGGGAAAAAAAGTGCTCTAGATTAAATAAGCAATACTGCTTTCTGCACCTAATTATTACTTGGAAGGCTCCTATTCAAGTACTGGCCTAATCAAATCCTTCTTAGTTTGTGAAAGCCGATAAGATTACAGCATAAAGAATTATGCTGCAGAATTAGGCCAACCTTTAAAATAATGCTGTTGTATGACCATGCTCCTACTTTTCTCAAAATGTAAGTTTTCTCTGAATTATTGCTCTTCATATTTGAGATACTGCTATTGCACGTTAGTTTTTAACTAAAATCATACCAGTATTCTCAAAAAATGCTGCAAAATGCTATGCTAATTATAACTTTTACTATTGCTTACTCTATTGAAATAAAGATTTTAATATATATATCAGTGACATTAATACTTGCTCCCCTTGGAAAGTAATGCAATTTAACAAAAAATCAGATTTGCTATTAAAAACACTCATCAAGTGGGAAAAAAAAAAATCCTTTTTTTACAACAGTAACTGAAGTGATGAAAAATCTCTATTTCCAGTGAGAAAATACAACTATTGTTATCCCACAAAGTGAGGTTAGATTTTGGATCTTTACCTGTTAGTGTAGATTGTACATTCCTTGGTATTTAATTTAATGCATTCGCTGTATTTATTCACAGCTTCTTCATATTTACCCTTTTTTACAAAATCATTCCCTTCATTTTTTAATGTCTTGAACTTCTCCTCAGCTTTCTCACCTGCATTACAAAAGGATCACAGTGTTACATAAGAACGTCAGTTCATTAACGGTGGCTGAATTATCTACCCAGACTAAGAATAAATGTCTGGCATCTGGAGTATCTTTATCAGTCTGCACATTGCCATTTCTGTCCCAGATCTCCCCGCTGCTCTAAGAAAGGCAAAAACTACCACATACACACATTTGGCACAACACATACTTCCCCATGCACCAGGGTAACTATTTTGATGAAAATAACAGGAATGCAACAGACAGCTCTACACGTTCATCTCCTTCTGTCTACCCCTTCTGTGTGTTAGAGAGGGACTATATATCTCCACTGAGATACCAGTTTTATTTACAATAGTGGAGATCTAATCAGCAGGATTAATGGCCTTCTAGATCTCCACCGTCACACCAAGGTAGCCATAATTTCATCTAATATTCTTTCTGCAAGCAACTACCTATCACAATTACTATGCTAAACTGACAATGACAAACAAATCATCACATCAGTAGTGATACATCAGTAATATTCTGTTAATAATTATTTATAAAAGATGCTTCAAGGAACCTGAAAACACCTAACTATACTTTTTAAAATTAATAATTAATATTGTGTTTTTCCATAATTGTCTATCCTTCTAAACTCCACATCATTTGCTGCATATGCTTCCAGGTTAGACTACAATTTTTAGCTATGTTTGCACTGGAAATCCTGACTGCAGTTTCATGGCTCTGTTGTGAGCAAACGATAATTAGTAACATAGCTCTAAGCCAATCATAATGGAAATATCTACTTTTTGTACCTTGCTAAAGAATATGAGCCCCTTGTCAAGCGTCAGGTTTTAAACACTGTATATAACCAGATAATTTTAACCAATAATTTAACTCAGCAAGTTCTTTTATAAAAACATGGCAGTCTCCTATGCCAGAAAACTACACATGGACTTGGGGGAAAAAAAATAAGTAACGACCTGAAACCAGAACAGACTTATGCAAGAAACACAACTAAATTACAACTCAAGTTTTAGGACACAAAAAACAACAGACAATTGTTGCAAAAGTGTCAGCCAACAGTAAAGTTTAACTACTGACTGAACATTATTGCCGGCACGCTTCCAGCACCAGCCATCACTGTCAGGTCCCACTGATTTAGTATAGGCCCGAGAAGGCAACCACAACCTTAGAGTCAGCCTTCAGTGAAGAAAATGGTTACACAGCCTTCATTTAATATTTCTAAAAACAAAGCCTAACCAAAGCCCACTCTATTTGAAATAGATCAAGACGTGTTTTGCATCAAAATGCCGCAGAGCACACTTCACGAAGACAGTGATGACCAGTTTCGTTAACTTTCATAACAGGCTAAACATGATCACTAGTGTTCTCAGGAGCTGCTTGGCTGTGTACTTTTCACTACGATGATCTTCAAATTCTCTCTCTTAACAAAGTTACACAAGGTTATATAGATCCAAATTTACTACTTAAATTGAAATAAAAATCCAACAAGTTGTATTCTTTCATAACAGAAGAAGTCTGGAGTACAATCAGTATAACAAAAAGCACTTTTCAAGCTAAGCATTTATGTTTCAATAGCAATAATCGTGCAAGATACCAGTTTGCTACTTCATTTAAAAAACCCAAAAGTTAAAACCAATTTCTGCCCAATCCTTAAGAGTGATGAATCAGTAATGACATGTACTGATAACTGTAATGAAAATACTTGTCACTGGACATTTTAGAAAGTAAAGGTTTTATCAATTTAATTGAGCTTAAATTATACATCAACATGCCTCATGTTTCTTAAATGAAAAACAATTTTCTGTAGCATTACTGAAGTTTAGTATGCACTACTATTCAAATCATATATAAACCATGCTATTACAAGTTTCTAGAACTGTGTCTTATTCTCGAGAAAAACATCCAATTCTCAGAAACGCACGTATTTGCAAGTTGTCTGTTGTTTTACATCAGGTACAAATAAATTCAATGCTATCTGAAAGATCATTTTGAAGTCATTAAATCTGTAGTGCCCAAAAGCGCAGATTATTTGAGGACATGCATTATTGCAGTAATGCATTATGAACAGATAACCCTATCACTGCTACGTATTTGGCCAGCAACCCAGTTATGCATTGCAGCCTCCTCTATGTTAATTAAGGGGAGATTATCTTCAGCACTACTTTTCTTTATACTGAAATAAACTCAAAGGGGAACAAATTAATAGTCAAGTAAGAGTAAAAAATGATACAGTTACGGTCTTTGCAAGAAGAATGTTTAATGTCAATAAAAACTGAATCAGAAAGGTTCCTTCATCTGATTTACTGGAGGAGAAAAATAGAAAATGCAATGAAGGGAAAAAAGTCAGGAGGAAGAAAGCGTCCTAAAGCAGTTAAGCACTCAGTGCTTATGTGTAAACAAGTCCAGAACTAACATCTTTGAAAGGTGACTACTAAATGGCTGCTGTCAAAGTTAGAATCCATCATTAAAAAAAAAAAAAAAAATTAAAAAAATGAGAAGTGTTCTTCTATAGCCCATTTCACTAACTACTGGCCACCTAGAAGGCTACCTACCCTTCCTCTTCTGAAGAGCTGCGTAATGCTTTCATGAACAATTAAATGACAGCTACAGATTATGCAGCTGATGATGTTACTGAGGTTGGGTGTTTGTTTGGGTGGTGTTTTTTGGGGGGAAAACTGTGTTATAACTATAGTATGATGTCAGGGAAACCACAGATACTTGTGATGGGACTCAATATACTGCTGATGAGAACTTCTGCTATATTTTCTTTTATTTTATATAACTTCAGAAATTACATGCTGCAAACTACGTAATTTGGCTGAAAAAAAAAATTATAACTGTGGCTCATTAAAAACACATTAAACCCAATCATGTAAATGACCATCATCTAACTTGGCTTTTCACAAAGATCTCTGATAAATATTTTCTAAAGCCGTTTCTTTGACACTATTAAAGTGTATTCCATTTTTCAATTAAAATTATTTTGGTTTTTGTATATATATATTTGCATTAGCTATACATACGATTCATCTGCAACTGTTCTTCTCTGTTGATATCTGTAGTACTTCTTGACTTATTCTCTGAAGTAAAGTTTCCTCCATCCCACCTGTGTAGCTGAGCAGCAACTGGGACAACTGGAATTGGTGCCAGTTTCTCCCTCCAACTGGGACCATCCTGATCTATTAAAGTCTTTGTTATTCTGAAAGAGAAAAGCCCCACCAACATGACTTTTCATATATTTAACTCACGCTTTAATAACTTACATCCAAATTAAATAATGAAATGTTCCAACTTTTCAAAAAACAACTGAACAATTATCCTTAAGGCTAATTTAAAACAAGATTGTTACAACAGTCAACAATATTGCACTCATTTAAGATTTAGACTTTTTCCCCTTTTTAGAGTATTTATGCTAGCATTTAGAAGGCAAGAAGCTGACTTCCTAAAGCTGACTTAGACATTTAAGCAAATGACTGATTTTGCAACTAAACGCAAGCTCTAAATGCTGCCTACCACATGCAATAAAGAAATAGGAAAAAAATTGATGTATTTATTTTGTTTACTTTTCTCAGATGTTCATAGGTGTTATTTGTAACAAGTGTAGATTACAATATCCTCAGACAAAGCGTGGTACCTAAATTTGCTAATGTCAAATGAAACCTCTTACACAACAATTCTCTAAATAACCAATGCAAATCACAAAGTAGGTATTAAGTTGCATTTTATAGAACAGTCAGAAATTCGTCAATCATTCATTCTTTATCCCCATTTAAAAATGCAAAGAAAATACATAAAAACTGTTTAGTCTTTCTTAAACCAACACACACACACATATATGTAGGTCAACTATTTCCGTACATGAGAGGTTCAATCCAAAATCCATTCAAGTGGGAGTTTCCCATTGCTGTGATACATTCTGGAGAAAGACCTAAGTAAACATAATGAGTAAAGCCATACAAGACTTCATGGTTCCATTACAATTTTTGTAGTGTTTTTTTTTAAATAAACAAATATTAACCCATGATGAGAACGAGAATAATAGCGAGATAAACTTCTAATCTCAAAATTAGCTTAGGAGTCAAGTTCAGCTGGTGATAAGTCTAATAACTACTTTAACAAGGGAAAATTCTGAATTGAGTAGTAAAGCAAGTCACATTGAGACTATAGCCAATAAACCTGAAATGTGTATATTAGGTGCATTTCCATCTAACACAGGTGTAAAAAACATACTACATGAATACACATTAAAAAAGAATTAAGAACCTCGAATGTGACATGAAGAATGAAATAGAATGAGTATAAATTACCCAATCAAGTTTTCTTGCTTAGTTTTGTTCTTTTTAAATATCTGAACAACTGCTATAGAACAAAAAAAAAAAAAGCCTCAGTATAATACTATGGCAACAGAATCAGAGCACTCAGGACCGAATTCTTTTCCCATTAGGGTCTGATAGAAAAACCAACACAAGAAGCAGCACCTGTCCTCATCTTCTTTATTGTGAAACAGGAATTACGAAAATATTTTAAAGAACGATATAGACTAAAAAGGCTGTTTGTAGAGCTATATAATGTGTGATTTTTATGTATTACATAATGCTGCATGAACCATACTATTTCTTATATTTTTTAATTGAAAGTAACTTTCGTCATACACAGAATATCACATTTCGTAGTATTATCTAGTCGCTTTATTTGTTTTCTAAGTGAACAAGAAGAGTATTTTTCTGTGTGTTAGCTGCATATGCCCTTCCAGGGGGCATACACTCTACCTGTATCATTACTAAGCACTATTTTATAGGACATACCAACAAAGCAGCTTGTCCAAGTTCTGTTTTGCTCTAATTTTACTAAAACTTTAGTTTTTTTAATGATGGTCTGAATTCAATTGTTAAGAAAAATGTGGCACACCATCATAAATTAATCAGCCCTAAGATGTACTTACGTTATTTTACTAGAGAACAAAACTGTACACTTCATATGAAAAAGTCAATTCATTACATTTAGGTATTTCCCATAGAAAGTAACAGAATAATTCTACAGTAAACCACTGTCCCATTGACTTCCTGTTTAATTTTTCTCCATTTATCATAACGGGCTTAAGTCGCACAAAAAAACTGGTCTAATACATCAAAATCAACAGAAAGAATCCTGCAGTCTGACGATCGATTGATTTCTTGTAATATAATAATCTAAGAATAGTCTTTTGCAAAAATGCATACCTGTGTGCCATAGTTAGTTTAAAAAGCACAGGTATCTCATGAAAAAGCCGGGACAAATACACTCGTTCCCCACAAATACACTCGTTCCCCACCATCGACACCCTAACTCGACCCAACAATCTTGCAGTTTTGGAGTTTACCACAAATTTATTTGTACAGCACAATACTCATATGGGACTTTGTAATAAAAGCTCCCAAGCTATCTAATGCAATTTGCTAAATGACATTAAAGAACTTGAGACAACTGGAATGAAACTTCAAATTCAGTAAATGGAAATACATAAACATATTGCCCCACATTAGAGCTTCTGTATTTCTAACAGCGAAAAGCAAATAATAAAACACTCAACAGGAAATCAAAATATACAAAGTAGGAAATTCATGGATGTTCACAAAGCTAGGTAAATGCCACTAATTAAAAGCGTGCTTGAAATGCATTTTCCTGTGACTTGGCACACACCATTAAAAGAAACAGTCCTTCTAATTTATCTAAATATCACCTTAGGATAACCAATAAAAGACACAATTCAACATCATCTAACCAACATGATAAATACTCAAATAACTGTTTATACTTGTTTTCAGTTGACTTTTCATAAAAATACATACTTACATTCTTAATTATTTCCTTTTGATTGCAAAATGATCAGGTAAAGGCTTTATATTATCAGGTAAAGGCTTTGTATTAAAAATTCTACTTGTCTTTTACGTGAGAATTATTAGAAACATGAGACACATGAGACTGAACACTCGTTCAATTCTAAGATTTTTGGAAAACCTGCTTGTTTAGGTAAGTACAGAAAGACAAGCCTTAACATGATTTATCAAACCCACCCCGAGACAAAAGTAGGATGATGAGTTTTTCCTGTCAGCTTCCTACAGTATCACCATCCAATTTCCCGCAGGAACTTAAAACCAAAGACATCGCCAATAAAAGCAGGTTGTTAAGACCTGATATTCCTAATATAAAAAAAATTTAAATTACATTTTGGGGTTGTCCCCTTAAGTTAAAAAGCAGTAGAGTAACAATCATTTTTTTGTTAGAATTCATTTTAAAAAGGTCTGTTACTTTAGAAATGAAAAATAATACTTTGATAAACAATTTCAATTTAATTCATAAATGATAAAATATTAAAAATTAAATTATAGTAAAAGTTCGATTACGCAGGAGGTCTATGCTTTAGAAACTAAGAATTTGCAAGCAAAAATGAATTACCAGCAGAAGAGAAGAAGGAAGAAGCAGCTGAAATAAGGTGATGGGTTGCCAGGGAGGAAAGAGCAATGAGCAGTGAAGCTAAAAACATAAGGAAGGCCTAGAGAGGAGAAAAGGAAGAGTGTTAAGGGGAAAAAAAGGAAATAAGCTTATTTCTAAGCAAGTTACAAGTCAAGGAGAAATATGAAAAGAGTACCTGCAGATAAAATAAGCCAAGAAGATTAAAAAAAAAGTATAATAATCACACAGATACCAGGATGAGCAGTTATCTCACCAATCCAAGTACTCTATTATCAGCGTAGATACAGGAGATCAGTAAAAATTTGTTGTGTTATCAAAAATAAGACTTCTAAGAGGACATGGTAAAGTGTCATGATCTCCTTTGGCCACCTCTGGTCAAGTAAGCAGAATTTAAAGATATTACGGACTTTTTAATGAAGTAATAATGTAAGTGCTCATGGCCTTGCCTTAAAAAGAATAAAAAGGTACTAGATTCTATTGTTAAAAGTTGCATGCGTGTGGGTTCCTGCTCAATGATTAATGGCTGCTCTGCTTTCATAAATACTTTTTTTGCCCATTAATAGAAAAGAGGAAAGAAAAGGGAATGGAAAATCCTATCATTCATGCACTTAAGTACTTAACTATATGTTAATGAGAACACAGTTACAATAGTGTGTATACACTAATTTTACACTATTAAAATATAATTATAGAAATTGAGATGTCTCTCTTGGCAGCAAAAATTAATGTTGGAAGTATTAACACAAGTTAAAAATAATATTCAGGTGGGTTTTTTTTTTTTTTTTTACACCTCTAAGCTTTGTAGACAACCACTGTATCAAGCTACTTCACTGTTTACACAACTGCAGCATACTGAAGGATTCACACTTAACATAAATCTCCAACTGCCACAGGAAGAGTGCTAACATGAAAAGGAAACAGAAACGTCAGAGAAAAGGTACGGACCTTAAAGTATTATTTTACATGGTATCATATACAAGTTCAGAAAGAAAACCAGTTGAAGCACCAGTAAAAAAAGCCTTTAAAATATTACATTTCTAAAACAGAAAGTGACCTACTGCAAATATTACATTTCTAAAACAGAAAGTGACCTACTGCTGGCAGAGGAAAACTGTGAAGCTATGGGAAAACAACTAAATGAAACAGCCAGTCCTCTAGTTGTAACGCACTCATTCTGATGACCCTGCCTCTGAGGGATACAGAACAGAGGAAGCATGTAAAACAAACAAAATTGAATTCTGTTTTTCTATTTGGGCTGATATGAGTAGAAAATTTCTAAGTGCAGTTACCTATTAGCACTATCATTCGCTGCTTGGATGCTGCTGTCTATTTGTAGGACTGTTTTATAATCAATGTATGCCTGTCGATACCGCTCCATAGACTCATTTGCCATTGCTCGTCGTAGAAGTGGCTTAAGGGAAAATGGCTGAAGCTCCAGAGCTCTGGAGAAGACAAAGGAAAAATGCAGGGTTGAAACAGAGTAACTGAAATAATATTAATAAAACTATTTTATTATATATACAACGATACGTAACAACTTTGTGATTTCAGATGGGCCTTACAGTAACATAACCAAGGAAAATGGGACTAAGTGTTTTTTATTAATACCCTAAATGACATGCAGTTATGAAATTGTTGGTGCTTTTACTACAACTTACTCTACTCAAATCCCTATCTTCCATCTGGAAAATACTTTCATCACCAAGAAAAGACTAATGTAATGGCAGCTGTTCAAAAGCAAAAGCTGTTTTTCTTAAGTCATGTCTAGATCTATGGGGATTTCAAGTATATGGTGCTTTTGCCTACATGATTTTCAGTTGTTCTTCTTTACATGGAAGTATGCACGTAAAAAATACATTTAGTAAGACATGAATATACATCTGTCTTTTTTTGGCTTTTAGGTTTTTGCCTGTATTTTGTCTGTTTACTCTTCTGATTGTGTGCCTGGTCAACACTGAGCTCAAGCCCTGACACTGTGCAAACAGAACTCCTTCCAAACACCATGCGCTTTTCCAGCAATATGAAGCAGCAGTCCACAAAGGCTTTATTTATTAAAGACTACCTTTTATAAATCAATGATTCTTGCTAAAGAGAAAAAGATATAAACTTTGAAATACTGACATTAAGGTAAGTCTAGCCAACTAGATTTCATGGAATCATAAAGTAGTTCAGGCTGAGAGGTCCCTAGTCAACCTTCTGCTACAGGTAGGGTCAGCTCTGAGATCAGACAAGGTTGCTCAGGGCTTTATCCAGCTGGGCTTTGAAAACCTCCAAGGGAATCTCTGCACAACATCTCTGGGCAACTTGTTGCAATGCCCCCCACTGTTCATGGGGAAAAGGTTTCTCCTAATACACGGTCCGAACCTTGTGTGGTTCAATTTGCTGTTGTCTTTTATCCTCCCACAATGCACTGCCAGTAAGAGCCAGGATCCATCCTCTGGATAGTCTCCTCATAAGTACTGGCAGGCTGCTGTTAGGACCCCTGGAAGCCATTCTTCTCTAAGCTGAATAAACCCAGCTCCCATGGCCTCTCCTCTCCAGGCAAGTGCTCCAGAGTTCATAACTACCTCAGTGACACTTCACTGAACTCACTCCAGTTGATCGCTATCTTTCTTGTACTGGGGAAGCCAAAAACCGACACAGTTATCATAGATGTTGTCTAACAAGTGCTGAGTGCAAAGGGATAATCACTTCCCTCAATCCACTGGTTGTGCTCCTGTTTATAAGCCCAGGAGGCTGTTGGCTTTCTTTGCTGTAACTTGGCTTTGCACCATTACTCCTCCTAAAGCTAGAGAAACAATTATTTCTAGAATAAACATTTCCAATTTCCATTTCATAAATATTTCCAACATTCCATTTCTCTTCATGTTGCCGAATGCATTTGAAAAATACAATAGCACACATCATAGCCCCTACAAAACCTCTGCAAAAATGCTTGACGTTCTGTAACTTCGAAGAAAATTATTAATGCAACTTCAGGTTCCTAACATCAAGAATGAAGAAAAAAGCAACCATAAATAAATTCAGGGGAAGACAACAGTGCTTGAAGAATAGCATCAGTGGGAATGGAAAACTACATTTCCAGGGTAGAATGCAAAGATAATACAGCCAGGGATCAAACCACACCATAGTACTAAGTAAAATAACATTAGTGCAGAGGAGTCCTATTTCACTCTCTGTAACAAGAATCAAAGGCACTCCAAATCAGAGTCTTGAGACAAAGAGAGATCCAACAGAGGGTTTTTGATACACTTCTAAGTCCTAAATAGCTAAAACTTAATAAAAGATAAATGTTCAATACTTATTTTTATATAATGAATACAAGCACTATACCATATTTTACTTTGAAATCAAGTAACTTATTCGTAGATCATCCTTTATGTTGTGTTGCCTAGAGAAGATTTAATTGACGTTGCCTAATTCATGTGTGCTTGCAGTTTTGCAATTCTGCTTCCCAGTCTCTAAATTATTTCTACCTCTCTTGTGTTCACTAAGCATCATGGGTCCTTGTGTACCCAGAAAATACGCACGACATTAAGGACACTATCATTAAGTAGTAAGAAAATAAGCTTCCGATTGGTAAGAATACAAAACCCAAAACCTTTGTATTGCTGATTTCAGTTGAAGTCTTACATATCTCAGACCTCCTGAATAGGAAAATGTGATGGCTGTTAAGTATGCCATCCTGTTTTATCAGCCAGCTGTCTATGGTCCTGCATCTGTTTTAACAAAATATTGTTAACAAGTCAATTTTTTCAGATTACATTTTCAGAAAACTTTTCTGTCAGGTAGAATATATACAGTAAGTCAAATATTTAGTTAATACAAAGTTACGTGCATATTTATTTTTAGTTTTGGGGGTTTTTTTTAATAGTTGGGTTGTGCTGTAAAAAACCCAACTGATTAATTAATATGATTTCTAACTGTCTTGGGATCCTTTTTTGCACCTTAAGCCTCAGTCTTACTAATGCTATCTATGAAAATATAAAAAAAGACATCTAGAAATGCAGTAAGAATTTAGTGGAAGGCAGTGTTCGGAAGTTATTGAAGGTGTCTGATCCTCTCTAACTCCTGTATCCTTAAAAGCCACAATAAGCAGAAAGGAGTTCAGCTCAATTCCTGAACAGCTGTAATTACTATTTATAATTATACCAAGTATATATTTCAAAAAACAAAACAACAAACCAAAACACAGAGAACACGCACATATACACCATACATATGCTTGAAAGCAATTTCCAACACTGTGATAAGCACCTGGCTTAACAAAGCTTTTACATATAAGTTACTACAGAGCATCACTGAAGTAAGCCTGCTTTTATATTAAAAATTTTAACCCTGCTATGCATTTCTGTGTAACTGCCCTCCCACAGTAAGATAGTAAGCTAAAAGTTACTCGTTCTCTAGGTTCCATGTGATTGTTTACATAACTGACAAAGGTATCTGTCATTTAGACAGGGAACCAGGCTTTATTAAAGATTGTTCTAAGTCAAATTGCAGTAACAATCTATCAGTTAAAATGTTTAATCATCATCAGGAATGTTGTTGCTCTGCATGGGAGGTTGCAATTTACCTGTTACAATCCTGAATGCAGTCACTGCAGTTGCCTTCTTTGAGGTAACATGCTGCTCTGTTTGAGTACAAGATACTTAAATCATCTGGACTTTGTTCTCCTGAAAGAAGTTACAATTAAAATCAAAGATCATTACTAAAATGACATTTAAGAATTAAAGACTTGCATACTGTAAAGTGCACTGCAGTGATGCAGTTTGCTGACAACGCAAAGCTGTAAGGAGCTTTCCTTCATCATGTCACCTAGAATATGTAAGTATTCAAACACATAAATAAAAGCAAACAGCTCTGCCCCCAGGAAGTTAAAAGATTATTTCGCTCATCTTCCCATATTTTGTATCACGTGAATTATTCTCTACTGACAATGACAAAGAATTTACTGCACAGTAACTCCTGCCAAAAAAACAGGGATAGGCTAGGTTAGTTCATTTGTAGTTCCTTTAAATAATCTAAACAATAATCCTAGATTTAAGTATAAGGTATCACACTCACCTAGACCGATGACATATTCAATTGCTTCCGAGTATTTCAGCACAGCTTCTCCAAACTGTCCACTCTTAAATAACTCGTTTCCTTCACTTTTTAGTTTTGCTGCAGTAGGAGGAAGTGAAGTAGAACTGCCACCACCAGCCGACTGAAACCCTGTTCCATGCGATCTGGAGATCTCAGCTTCAGGGCTTTCACTCTTTTGATCACTGTGTAAATATCCATTAACTTCACCTTCCTGGTCTGACGAATGCTTTTCTGTTTTTTTCTCTGATGTGCCTTTTTTTAATCCGCTCTCAGTGGATTCCTTCTGCTTCTGTGTCTCTCTGTCCTCCGCCTTACTGGCACCGCCTTTGCTATGAAACTTTCTCTGCGCGTTCCCCATTTCAGCCTCCTCAGTAGCCGCCTCGCCTGTTACTGGCACGCCAATTTCTGCAAGGAAGTTAATGAGCTGAGTTAGAGCTTGCATCATCAGAAGGAACTATCGTCCTGGCAAAAGAGGGGGGTACAGCCAAAGAACACGGTACCAAATCCTTCAGGCATCCTAATGTTACCAAGATTTATTTGCCTCAGAAAACACTTCCAAGAACACAGAAAAAATCCTGCTTACAAGTAACTTGCAATTATTACTGAGAAGGTATTACTATGAAATCTCATTTCTCCTCGCTGGGCACGTTGCAAACCCCTGTTCTGTAGTGCCAGAATGGTACAGAGTTCACCTTGAAATTAACTCTTTAAAATACCGGCTATTACAATACTGATATACTTTGATTTTTCATGACCAAAGCAAAATGCTTGCATGTTAAAATTAGAACACACATCTAACAAACCAGTAATGTTGCACCCTTCAAACCTCTCCTCAAATACAACATAGGAAGGATAAAAGCTTATAAATAATTCTCGAAAAGGTTTCATTTAAACATAATGTCAAAGATTCTTTTATAGAGAGTTCTGATCATTCAATTTTCACTACTATTTATTACTAATTTAATTAGGAAAAATCATACAATAAGGGTATCGGATATTAACATATATAAATTCCTTATTCACCTGAGTTCCTAACAGACTACCACCACAGTATTCAATTACAGATTTCAGCAGAAAGCCTGACTCTTGATACTACCAGTCACGCAAAGGCAACTCTGTGTTTTGGTACTATTAATTAAGACACTGGGTTTTCACCTTCCCTTAACTTGATGTGCTCATCTGTCCAAGAGAATTTTTTCATGACTTCATATATTGGAAAGAGACTTCCAATTGACTCAGACTAAACTTCTGAAGTTGACTGAGTATGCATGAACTCCAGGTTGTTCTAAATTACAGAAATGATTTTTTTTAATGCACAAAATGTTACTGAAATCAAACTGAACAGGATGGGAAAGCATAAGATTTTTAAAAACAACAGATTCTCTAGAGGCTAATAGACAAAAGCTCCAACTGCATCCTTCCTAGCTGTGATCTCTGTTTTGAAATGCCGCGTTTAATAATAAGTTCATACTCCACAGTGGGAAAAACGAGCAGATAAATCTATTCTACCCACACAGACATTTTTATAAAACTTAAATTATTTATATTTGAGACTTCTATCCATCCATCCATCAAATTTTGCAGTGCCAAATATGCCAAAAAGGTTTAAAGTCTATTTCGTAGGGAGGATGAAGGTAAAAGACTGTGTGATGTGAATGTCATTAATGCAAACGTCATTTCCTGAATACAGGAGAAAATTTCCTGAAGATGAAGTGCGCAGAACCAATCCTGGATTAAACAGGAAACATTTATAGCATTTGGAGTCCCCCTGAAAATAAGAATACTCATAATTAACTTGTTTAGCTGTCAGGTTGTGTTAATTGCCTAAATATTTCTGGACTGAGTAAACACCATGCACAAAGTTGTACAGATATATTTCTCAAAGCTAATTGTCACTGTCTTTCAGTTTCAGTGTAACATAAACAATATTCCTGTATTGGTCTCTACAGAGAAATGTATTCATGAAAGCAGTATTTTTTTAAGGCTTTGCCTTAAAAAAAACAAAACAAAAAAAAAATCAGTGCTTATGAACTTTAAAAAAAACAAAAAAAGAGGTCTAGATACATTATAAATTCCAAAGAAAAGTTAAAAGAAAGGTACTGAAAAGTATGGATAGGATTTTGACCAGAATGACAACAAATACAAACTAGAAAGAATTTTAATTCATGTTAGTACTAAAATAACAAACTTAAAATGGAAGGACTGTCATAAAACAAAAGCTATTGAATACTCCAAAAGGAATAGTTGAAGTATTTTTTTTTAATGGATGACATAATCTTTCATTTAAAATTAATTTCTAGCTACACAAAGTATTTATTCTCCAGAAGCATGGCACAAAAATGTCATTCAGCAGAATGAAAAGCAACATATCTACGTTCCGTTCACAATGAATTCACCTGTTATGAAGCCAGGAAACATTTTCAACTCTTTTATCCACTCTGGACTAGCTACATATGAAGGCAACTGGAATGGTCCCAATCTCCACAGATTAATTTTTAATAATTTTAAATAATTCTTTGCTTTTGTGCCACACACGGTCAGCAAATATCTGTTTTGTATTACGTGTTCTTGGTTCAGCTGACTGAGATTGTACCTGGATTGTTCTCAGCCAGAACATATAACGAACAGACTTCTCACACAACTCTGATCTCTGACTGCTTGGGAGCAGTCTTTGTTCATAAAGAATGAAAAAAGATTTACTGGTCAACATTTATACTGACACTGTAATTGAGGGTTTTTCTTAACTTCAGGATATGCCTTATAAATGCAATTCTGGAGTTAATTTTCAATGCTGTTTCTTTTAACATGATCTAGATTTTCATATTGCTAGCGTGCAATAAAGTCTAAAAGCCACAGTAGGATGGGCCCCATTGTGCTAGACACTGTACAAATTAATTATAAATGAGAGCTCCTTCTTCAGAGTTTACAATTCAAAAAAATCAAAAATATCAAATGAACAAGCACACTGGAAAGAGGATCAAGGAATACAGAATAACTATTACATTGGATAAACAAGGTGGCCAAACGTCCTCGTACAAGACCTCAGATCAATAAGGCTTCTAACCATAAGGAGAACAGACACAGTCAATTATTCAAGGCTACAATGGCAAAGAAACTTCCTATTACAGTAAAATTCTGATCACAGAGATTACTACAAATTAAGATTTCGATAGGTGTAAAATCATATATGGCATAAAGATCAAGTGAGCGAGGATACAGAGCAGACAGTAAGCATTAACCAACAGATAACATCTCAATTATCTCAGAGCCTCAGTGGTAAAGGAGAGCCAAAAACAATACCATGAATAACGAAAATAAAACAGCAAGCACAACTGATTGCTTGAGTAGGAAAGAGCTCTAATTGTCTCCTACCCAATACACTTTGCTTCTCAACAAATCAGAAACTTCAAAATGCAAATCTAAAACCTTACTCACTGTTCTCTGTGAAAAGCCATGAAACATTAACACATATCTTGAAGAATTATCTGTAACATCAAATAAATGTTCCATTACTGCACATGGAATGAAAAAGTAAAAATGTAAAGACAAAGAATCCAGTTTTATTTGAAGATGTCCATTTCATAGAACATGTTTAGAAAATCAACAAGAGAAATTCAAAGAGTGTTATCAACCCCTATTTGTTTTGGAAAGCTGTAAATCAGTCATTATGATGACAGCTCCATTTATTTAAGGGCAGAAAGCACATTACTTCAGAGAAACCATGATACCTGGTCAAGACCAGTTGAGAACACAGTACACAATTCATCAAGGATGCAGAGAGAGTTTTCATACCTATTCAGCTCCTAACAACACTCCCAAGCAAAGATGATCTAGTGAAAGAAAACTAGTGAAAGTCACAAGATAGCAGACTGATAGAAGGAGATGCTCTTCAATCTAAGCATGGTTCCAAATCACGGTGCTGTCATGTTCAATGACAAAGACCATAATTTGGTACTATCAAGTAAAAAACAGATTGGGAAAAAACCACAAAATAATTCTCTGTAGCCAACTGCTGTGGCATCAAGTAAATTTAATACCACATAGGCAGCAAAACTAGAAGTCAGATGAAGGATTTAACACAAAGGAAAAAGAGGTGCTCTGATGCTTCAATACCAAACCAGTGTACCAAACCAGCAATCTCAAGGTGCACAAAACAGCAAGGCACGTACAAAAATAAAAGAAAAATATATCCTGAATTGGGAAAAAGGTCTCATCCAGAAGAATAATATTCTCTTCACCTCTAAAGGGTAATAAATAAACCATGCACAAAGAAAACACTCTCTAGGTAACATCTTTCCCCACAGTCAACTCGCAAAACACAGCTTTGTCTGTTATGAGGGTTCTTGTACGTGTTCGAAGTACATCTTTTAAGGAGAGATGTGTTGTCAACTTTAGCAATAACAGGTTGAGAAATAATGATTTTAAAGGTAACTTAGACTTTACTTGTTTAAATGCACTTTCCTTTTTATGAACAAATATTTACTAAATTTCAGAACTGTTTACTATAGTATTTTTTTAAATTATTGTAATAGATCAAGTAAATACCACACAATTCAACAAATTTTTATGAATAAAAAGGGGCTATTTAAAAGATATTTATTTTATTTATCTTTAAGCCATATTTATCAGTTGAGATTATAAGTTCTATAAACATGTCAAAATATCAGGCGCTTTGTCAAGTACATACGTGATTTTTAGTTTTTATAGTGCCTGAATACTAGTTTTTACAGTCTGTAGGATGTAAGCAATTTTCTGTTTCTATTGTACAAAAAGGGTATTATTTACTTTTGCTTTCAGATACATAGAAGATGAAGAGAGACTACAATCTTTATTTAGACTGTTTTGTTCAAAGCTGAGAAATCAACTCTTCAGAGCTAAAGAAAACAAAATATTTTGTTGCTTTTCTTCTAAATGGTAAGTTTAGTAGGAATGCATGAGGCTTGCTAATTAGAATGTGAAAAAATGTGACTACATGACTGGACTACATGGACTACTAGACTGACTATGACTACATGACTAGATTTATAGAGAAAACATATAAGATGCTTAGCCTACTTATTGCTATTAGGTTCACAGAACATACCAGATTTATTCAATAACTGAACTGACTTCATATTTGTTTCCAGTTGTACTTTAAAACACAGAGTAATCTATGAAGATGCTTGCCTCCTAAATCTCAAAAATACTTATGTGTCAACGTATGTTTATGTGATATAATCTTCCCTATGTTTAAAAGCCTAACCTTTCATCAACGGAATGGGAGTCTTCCTGTGGAGCTAGAAGGCACTTAGTCATCTGAATGCTCCCAATGGAAAACAACCCCAAATTAACTAATATTTAAGGTTAGGGACATGATCTATCCTTTCCAGGGTTTTAGCTGAGGACACTTAGTGGATACCTACTGATTTTGAAAAATGTATTTTCCTTAAATTTGTGTGCAAATAATGCATTATTAAATCACTCAGGTACAGTCTAATATTCACAATGAAGTTGGAAAACCCACAGACTGATATAATTTAAAGATAAAGAACTACATAGGCCACAGAAAACACAGAAGCCACAGTTGTCATGCCATATTACCTTAAAGAACCAACAGAAAGGAGAAAGGGTGGAAATCAACCCAGGGATGTTATTCTCTTGCAGGCTGGAGCCCAGACATGCAGCTGAATCTAAAAGCAACCTGCCAGTGCAGGCCTCAACAGCCCCTGCCGCCTCATTTCCTCCTACAAGTCATGTATTCTGATTATGCCAGTAGCTTCATCTCAGCAGTCTTGCAGTTAGTCACACACTAATCCATGAATGGGAGCTGCACTTCAACTGCTTGTAAAATACATATAGTACAAGAATTATACGTTGTTTCTCTCTAATGCATACTTTCAGACACACAGATGATCTCTTACATTAAAAACCAAAAAAAAGATCGATAGTTTTCAAAACAACAACAAAAAAAATCAAATTACATGCCACTTGATCATTTTTACACCCTTTGATCCAATCAAGGGAGGCAAAATGCAGAAGAAAAATGTGATGGTGGGAAGGCAGGAGAGCTGTGCGAGAGAAAGAGCTAAGAAACACAAAATGTTCTCTATCACCAGAAGAAATTCCCAACTGAGTCCACATCAAAGGATAGGTATAAAATTACACAGGACACAGGGAAGTAGGTGATTTGTAGCAACATTTTCCATCTGTCTCTGTTATACCCTTTCTAGAAATAATTCCAAAGATGTGTAATAAAACTGGATTCTACATTTCACACTCAGATCTACTTTAAGTAGTGAATGTCATTGTAGTCTTCAAACAGGCAAAATTCTTTGCAAGCAAATATGGATGAATTGTGTGAATAAACATTGCAATATCAAAGGCAATGATTTTTTCCTCAGGTTAAAATTAGATAGGAAATGACATGGCATTACTTTTATCTCCACCGCTTCTTTCACGTTCTTCTGTATTTTCCCCTCTTTCTTCATCACCTTCTGAATCCTCTATATCTTGAATAAGTATTCTTTTTCCTTTGCCTTGAGTCTCAGATACAGGCTTTAAACCTTTCAGTTTCTTTTCAATCTCTAGCAGATTTTTCTGCAATAGAGAAAAAACAGCAATAGCAGCAGCTTTTTTCTATAGGTATATAAATTGTAATTTATATACAGAAAATACATTCTGTTAAATAATCAACATAAGATCCTGAAGAACTATCAAGATGTTACCAATATAAAAATAGAGAAAAAAAATGTGATTTTTCCAAGAGTCAGTATCAAAACCAAGATTAACACTCAACTTCTGTCTCTTAGAAACTCAGAAGATATCACACAAATAAGTAAGTACTTTTCTTGAATGAACTGCTTAAGCAAAAAAAAATTTTAATTAAAAGGAAAAAAAGTAGATTGTACTATTGTGATATCTGGCATGGTCTACTCAGAAGAGACACGTGGAAAACAGACTCTTTCCAGAATCTCTGAAAAAGCCTAAAATCAGTTTATCAACATTTATGCTATGGAGGATTTGGCGTCTGATGGATATCTGATGGAGGAGTGTAACTGATAGAACTAGAACCAAAAGAGACAACAACTTCTTAGCAGTGTAGCAGAAGGACACTGTTGAATAATGAAAAGGTTTGCTCCTCTTTTAAGAACTGCAAATTAGATGATCAAACAGCCTCTCTTTCCATAAACATTTTTTGATTACTCAAAAAAAATACTCCAACTGCACTTTACACTTTCAGAGCAGAATAAGACACACCCAACATTATGCACTATTCTGAATTTAATTCAATGCTGTACAAGGAAGCGCCATTTCAGTACTCACTTCCTCAAGAAAAAGATAAAACAAGGACAGGAGCAAGCAAAGATTCATGTGGACAAAGTACTTTGAAGAATTCCAGTTACTGACAAGCAATTTACCTTTATTTTAGTGACTCTGCACATAAACATTCACTCTGCATGTGTTCCACACATTTCATATTTAGCTCAAGAGGGTTTTGAGGATCCTCCAAGCAAAGAGCAACTCAAAAAATGCCCTGCCAAGCACTCTGTCACCTCTAGATGTCTCAGCCAAGGCGTAATAGCTGGCACAGATAAGGACAAAGTACAGACATCCACTTTCAGCTACAGAACCATTGCTCAGCAAAACTACTAATGTATTTGGATCTCTGGAAGAGCATTCTCAAAATGAGTAAGTATCTTATGTCTGGTATTATAAGAAGTCTCAGCACGGCCTGTTTGATAAACTTTTCACAAAGGCTGTTGTGGACTTTGTCAACACAGACTCACAAGCTATTTAGTGGTTTAGTCTTATAAGCAGAAAAAAACCCCAAAAGCTCTTTTAGAACTCAAATCTAGAGTGACAGGTGTTTAAAAAGAAAGAAGGGGCCAGGGGAACAAGCCGGTTGATTCCTTGGTTGATGTGAAACTCAGGAACTATTCTGGACAGGAATCTAGCTCCAAGAACACCCTAAAAGGGACGAATGCTGTACATGGTGAATTTGACATAACAGGCTTGGACCTCTCTCACTGGTGCAAGCAATAGCAGTGACCAAGTAACTCCACACAAAGAAGTAGCAATCAGCAAGCTGCTAGCAGCTCAAAATGTGCCAACAATAAGAGCGGAACAGAATTCAGGTGATGAGGCAATTGCACAGCATCCAGAAGTCATACATAAAATAATTAGGAGGGTAGCAGTATGATGGACTCCTAATTAACAAGCAAAGAGCAGTTTAGTATCAGAACTGCCAGGCACTGAAGATTCTCAGGACATGTAGAGTCCAAATGCAAGGACTGGGTTCTAACCCACAAAACACCCCTAAGAAGATACCAATGAATGACACAAACCAATCCTCTCCTAAATATCTGAAGTAATAGTAGTACAAAGATCACATCCTAACCTTGAGTTTCCAAAGAAAGCATCTAGCTTTCTGAGATCCAAAATTGGCTAAGAAGGGTCCAGATTCATCAGAAGGTATGAAAGGTTTTTCATTCTATCCTGGAGGTGAGAAATGAGGATTTATAATATCACACTGAAGTGAGGACAGAACCCAGGTCCTCTCCTTTTGGGTTAACTTTACCACTACAACAATAACACCTTGGCATCTCTTTTGGATTTTTCTTGTGAATTATGTGTCAAACTGAAATACGCCTATCCCAATGGATCTTTCTGAGAGAAATTTCCAAATAACTTTGATCAGCTAAGACACTAATACTCTAAGCATGTTCAGCAGCAAAATTTTAGGCACCAAAATTATGTTAATAGAGATGACTTAATTGTGAGAACCTGAAGGCACTCAAGTAGTGAACAGAAGATCTGGTCACATTCAAGTATCTAATTTCCACCACAGGCACATGTGGTCTTGGGAGACTGATCACTGGCACAGTAGATCGAGTGTGTCCTCAAAACTCATATTCAAATCAAACAATATTAACTGTACTCACTTTATGCTACAACTGCATACAACCTTTTTCTAGTCATATTCAACTCATTTATCTTTACCTTAGCTATAGCATTTTCTGGTTCAACACATAATACTTTGTTCAGATCCTCTATAGCTGTCTGGTAATTCTGCAGCTGGTTGTGTACAGTGGCACGGCGCATCAGAGCTACAAAGGAACAAAGTATATTATTTATGTATTTAAAGCATAAAGCAGATAACTACACTATTTTTTCTATACATATTAAGTGTAAAACAGTTTTTAAAATTCTGCATTTACTTCATAATGACTCTGCATTAGTAATAACTGTTCTCTTGATCATTTTTAACGATGCAATTTCACATGACACCTTTTGGGATAACGATCATGAATTATGAAGCATCTTTTCATATTTTTCCAAGTTTCCCCCTCCTCCCATGCAAATACTGTTAGCTACATTCAAGCCCTTGCCTTCAGAAAGGATTAAATCAGCAACTTCCATTGTTTTCATGTTGCTTTTAAGGTAATTAATACTTCAGTGTGGGTATTGTGGAAACAATGCACTTCACGAATACAAGAGGGCTTATAGTCATCATATAAAAAACAAGTGTTAGTCCCACGCTACTGCATAAGAATACGCATTACAAATCAACAGGATGGACTGCATAAAACTTCCCTGACCCTGAAAATACTGTTAAAATTACTTTGGGGAGCTACTCTGCTTCCTTCTTTATACTTGAACTTGATCTAAAGCTCAATGAAGTCAACTAACAACATGAATGGATATGTACCATTTTATTTGTTACAAATAAAATAATACATAGAAGGGCAAGTTTATGTTCCACTTTACCTTTTACGTTGCCAGGTTCCATATCTAGTACCTTCTCACAATCCTGCAAAGCACTGTCCCAGTCCTGAAGTTTGATTTCTGCTTGAGCTTTGTTATTATATGCAGCTGCAGTGGGTATTACTGATATACTCCTGAAAAAAGGGAGCATTGACCATGGTAGGCTTATAGTTAGAAAGCCTGAATGTAGAAACACTTCACTACTGGAAGCTGAAAACAGTATTATAACAATATTAATACTGATACTCTAACCACAACAGTGATTAGGAACTTCATCCTGCGAGACCAGAGGCAACCATCCACCAACTAGATTTACCATCTTCAGAGGTCTGTTGCTTGCCAAGGCTTAGATCTGAGATGTTGCAGAGAAGGTGCCATGGCTCATCCATCCCTTAAACTATCACCTCTTGCTGCCATCGATGTAGACTCAAATTAAAATGCCAAATGAAACCTTCAGAGTATCAAGAGTAACTACAGAGCTCTGGAGGCTATGATGAAAAGCATGGGGGGCCACGTGGGCTTCTCCTTGATCTTGCTTGTAAAAGGGAAAGACTCAGGTAGCGGTGAATGAATTGTCCAGGTCAATATCTGGCTGCATGGCTGGTATTGTAGGCAGGGCTTTAGCTTTTATAACAACAGGATGATCTCTTGAGGAACAAGGACAACTGGGATCCATATGAGAAAGTGGTGCAAGACAATCTTTGCCAACACCCTTGCTAACCTAGCAAGGAGGACTCTGAATTACGTTCGCTGGGAAGGAGGACTCTAAACTATGTTCGCTGGGAAGAGGAGGCAATAGGGAAGTGCTGGGGAGACAGCATACTGGAAGAGACTCACACTTTCTTTGTAAAAAAAACATGACTGGAGGACCATCTCAAGTGCTTGTGCACAAATGCACAAAGCATGGGAAACAAAAAAGAGTAAAAGGTCTGTGCAGCTCTAATCTCAGTGAGATAACAGAGATATGGTGGGATAGTTTGCGTGGCTGGAGTGCTGTGATGGAGGCGTGCAGGCTCTTTCGAAAGACTAGGAAGGTAAGGAGGAGGAGATGCATTCTAGTCTAAGCAGTGATTAAATGTATGAAGGTTTGTCTTGGAACAGGCAAGAGACTGACAAGCCAGTCAAGAGAGCTGATGGGTAAGAATAAGAGACCAAACTGACATGGTGATACCATGGTAAGCACCTGCTTCAGGCTGCCTGATGAAGAAGAGCAAGCAGATGAAGTCGTCTTCAGGCAACTAGAGGAAGCCTCACAATTACAGGCTCTGGTTCCCATGGGGGACCTGAACCACTCTGGTATCTACTGGAAGGGCAAAATGACACGGCACAAGAAATACATGAGACTTCTGGATCATATCGAAGATGACTTCTTGACACAATCAACAAGCTGACAAGGGGGAATGCTCTGCTGGAATTGTTACTCTCAATCAAGAACTGGTTGGGAATGCAAAAGTTGACAACAGCTTTGGCTGCAGCAACCATGAGATGGTAGAGTTTAAGATTCTGGGAGAAAAGAGCAAGATGAACACTAGAATTATAGCCCTGGACTTCAGAAGGCAAGATTTTAGCCTGTTCAGGAATCTGCTTGGCAGGATTACAGGGAGAATGCCCTGTAGGGCAAAGGGTGCCAGGAGAGCTGGTTGGTCTCCAAGGACAGCTGCTTCAAAGCACAAGAACGATCCTTTCCAATGTGCAGGAAGTCAAGCAAGCATAGAAGAAGGGGTGAACAGAGAACTCTTGACTGAGCTCAAACACAAAAATTAAATACACAGCAGATGGCAGTGGTGATGGACTACCCAGGAGGAATATAGAGACACTGGCTAACTGCGAGTGAAGGAATTAATAAAGCAAAAGCTCAGCTGAAGTTGAAACTAGAATGATGTGAGGAGCAACAAGTTTTTTTTGTTTTGTTTTTTTTAAAAGGTCTATCAGCAGCAAAACAAAGATTAAGGAAACTGTGGGCCACTGGTCAATGCAGCAGAGGACCTAGTGACAAAGGACATGGAAAAGTTTGAGATACTCAGTGGCTTCTTTGCTTCAGTCTTCATTGGTAAGGTTTGCCCTCAGGCTTCCCAGGTCCCTGAGTTTAGAGGCAGATTCTGTAGGAGTGAAGCAGTACCCACAATAGAGGAAGATAAAGTTAAGAAACACTTAAGAAAATAGGATATACACAAGTTCCAGATGGGGTGTTCAGGAAGCTGGCCAGTGTTACTACAAGACTGCTCTATATCATCTTTGAAAAGTCATGGTGATTGGGAGAGGTGACTGGTAAAGGCTAACGTCACATGAACAAGAACAGCAAGGTGGAGGACCTGGGAAACTACAGGCTGGTCAGTCTAACATCAGTTCTCAAAAAGATTATGGACCAAGTCATCCTGGATTCCCATCCAGGCACACGAAGGATAAGAAGGTGACTGGCAACAGCTAGCATGGATTTACCAAAGGCAAATCATGCCAAGACCAACCCGATAGCTTTCTTTGCTGAGTGGCTCAGTGAAGGAAGGAAGAACAGAGGGTGTTGCTTACCTTGACTGTAGCAAAGCCTGGGACTTGATCTCCCATAGTATTCTTATAGCAAAATAGGTAAAACATGTACTAGATAAGTGGACAATAAGGCAGACAGAAAACTGACCGGACTGCTGGGCTCCAAGAATTGAGCCATACAAAGTCCAGCTGGTGACCTGTTACTAGTGGCCTCTCTTTGGGATCAAGTTTTTAATGTCTTTATCAGGGGGGTATAAGATGGAACAGAAGGCACCCCCAGGAAGTTCGTCAATGATACAAAGCTGGTGGGGAACAGTCAGTAATACACTGGAGAGCAGAACTCCAGTCAAAGGGACCTTAAGAGGCCAGAGGAATGGGCTGGCAGATTTCTCAGGAAGTTCAGAAAAGGGAAGCACAAAATCCTGCACCTGAAACAGAGTAACTCCAGCAACAGTACAGGCTGGGTGCCAACTAGCTAGTAAGCAGCTTTGCAGGGAAGGACCTGAGGGCTCTGGTGGACAACAAATTGAACAGGAGTTAACAGTGTACTCTCAAGGCAAAGAAGGCATACCACATGCTGGGGCATATTAGCAAGAGTGTAGCCAGGAGGTCGACAGAAGAGGTTCTTCCCCTCTCTTCAGCACCTATGAGACAACAGGTGGAGTACTTGCGTTCAGTCTGAGGCTCTCCTGTACACAAAAGGCGCCAACAAACTGGAGTGAGTCCAGCATGTCACCGGGATAGTTAGGGGGCTGGAGTACATGCAATACTTATGAGAAGAGTCTGAGATAACTAGGTTTGTTCAGCCAGAAGCGAAGGCACAGGGGAGGTCTTGTAGCTGTTTCCAAGTTACCTAATGGGAAGGTATGGAGAAGACAGAGCCACATCCTTCTCAGAAGCGCACACTGATAGGACAAAAGGCAACAGACACAAGTTGCAAAAAGGGAATTTCTGATGACGTTTTAGGAAAAAAAAAAATTACTGTAAGCGTAGTTAAACACTGCAACAGGCTGCCCAGAGAGGCTGTGAAATCTCCATCCTTGGAGATTAATTGAACAAAGCCCTGAGTTACCTGATCTAACTTGGCCCTGCTTTGAGAGGTGGTTTGCACAAAATATCATTCAGAGGTTGCTTCCAACCTAAATTATTCTATGATTCTGCAGTATAACTGAAATTACTAAGCAGAGTGATTTCACTAGAGGTATGCAGAAAAACAGGCAAGATCCATTTATTTTAAAATCACATCAGCATAATAGAACTATGTCAGAACACATCCTTTGCAAAAGTTTTGAATCTCTTTAGAAATGAGAGAGAAGTTTAAGGTTTTTTGTAAAATAGAAAGTACTCTCTACGTTCAGCTTAGAATAGTAGGCCTCATTACAAGACTAACAGCATGAATAACTGTACCCTGATTATTTTTATATAGAACTCTACTATTTTTCACTTTTTAGCCATATGCAAATAACCCCTTCAGGCTATTACCAATTCACTCCAAAATATGTTTTATTTAAATATTTCTAAATGTAAGAAAATAGGAATTTTCAGATGGTATTAGGAAAGTGCCCAGTTAGAACCGTATGCAGTGTCAATATCATATATTTCAGAAGGTGTACAATGCCCCATGGGGGTCGAATGGGGGTCAAATATGGAAAGACTCTCCATTAGGAAGGATTCTGCCCATCCTTATTAATTAATACCTTATTTATGCCCCAAAAGCAGAGATTTTTACTTATTTTTATACTATGGAGTTGTATTTTATTTTTTGTATATGAAACACAGCTATGGATGTTTTTAATACATGTTCATGTATTAAAAAAACCCAAGAAAGATGTTAAGGCTGCAAGTCAAGAACGAAAAAAATACACATCAGATGCCTCAGTTTACTCAGCCTGTGCACTATGAATATCAATACCTTTGTGCACATATATACATCAACAATCTCCAGGTACATGTTCATAAGCTGTTCTACAAAACCCTGCCTCCTTCAGTGACAGTATGAATGGTGCTTCCTAAACATAAATCTGTTCAATATTTATTTTATTGCTGTTGCACACAATTTATTCCTATTCATTATTTTCTCCATACTTGTCTGCACTGACCACAGACACATTAACTTCCTCATAAATTTTTTTGGAGGATATCCCACTATAATATCATAGCCCATGAATTATCTTAACACTTCATCTCACAGTAGTGCCATATCATTACCCTCAGTTTACACTGGTAATTAATACACAAAAATTCCCATATGCTCTGAATTTCTAAGTGACAACTTTGACACTTCTAGGACTTGTGGGTTTTTAAAGTCCTTATCATTTCAAAGCACAGAGTTAAACACAAAATTGAGTTTCCTTTAACGTTAATGTGTTAGCAGTCAGTACTTTTACAAGTCAGACCTCTAGTGTCTCAAGATGGGTAATCTGCAAATGAGAAACAAATGTTGGTCTATGTGAAAATCCTGGTTTGTATAAATGGCATCATGTTTGAACACTGTGGAAAAGGTAGAGAAAAAATCTAGTTCTCCCAAGGTCGCATTGAAATATCTTAACTGAAACACTATCCTTCTCTTCCTGTCATGCCCAATTCTGTTCACCTTGAACTTTTCTACTTTTGAAACAAATACAACAGAGGCCCTGAATGTTGGTCTATGTGAAAATCCTGGTTTGTATAAATGGCATCATGTTTGAACACTGTGGAAAAGGTAGAGAAAAAATCTAGTTCTCCCAAGGTCGCATTGAAATATCTTAACTGAAACACTATCCTTCTCTTCCTGTCATGCCCAATTCTGTTCACCTTGAACTTTTCTACTTTTGAAACAAATACAACAGAGGCCCTGTAGCAACCACCTCTATTTATATAAATAAAGCCAAAGTCTGAATGTAGTCCACTGTGCAGTAAATAAGGCAAGCAACCTGCAAGAGTCTCATATTTTTTAAATCCAGTGTTTATATACTTTTCTTCTGGACTGCTACTAATTACAGACAATGTTATGATGAAGCTGCACACAATGATTTTTCTTTCTCCTAAGAAGGTTATTAAATCAATTTTACTTATTAACAATTGAGACAATCCTACCAATATGATTAATTAGAATTAATTTGTAATGAATTTAGTTTCTCAACACACTGCTTATCCTTTTATTTTTGTAAACTTGCCCTTGAATCTCAATGGTTTTGAAAAATCTGAAGAACTTTAGGACACCTGCAGATTGCATCCCATCACTATTTACCCGCTTCTTTTCCTGATAAATAAAAATTAATATCAGGATGCAACAGTGCTTTAAGTACTCTTCTGTCAAATCTTTTTGCCCTTTTGAAAATAATCTAATTGTCACTAGTTGCTTCAGTAAGAAGTTGCTTTAATTACATTGCTCTAAAAATAACATTCACAAGTAACAGTCATTAAAATAAAAGAACACAATAGTATTTACTCACCGACTGTAATATGTCACTGCTTCCACATAATCCCCAATGGCAAAGGCTTCATTGCCCTTTTCTTTTTCACGAGTAGCAATAAAAATCTTCTCTTTCTCTGTCATGCCTAGAAAAAATATTTATACATAACAACTAACAACTTCCACAGATGCAATCAAAACACTGTCAGCTAAAATAGTTTGAATGTCAATCTGTATATTTTTTTTTTAAATAATATGGCTTACTAAAAGATAAATTTGTATTTTATTTTCTATAATAAGAACCAAATCCTTCTGATATGCATACAATTCAGAATGCAAGATGAAAGTGGTTGGCTAACCTCTACCATTGATTTATAATAGCAGAAGTATGCTTTATTTCTTTATCTAGCACTCTCAACCTAAGCACAACATAAATATTTTAACTCATTATTAACACCAAGACTAGAATTTTTTCAAATATGGCTTCAGTTAACCTCCTAAGAACTTTTAGCATCTCTATAGGCTGAAAAATAGATAAAGACACTTTTACGTCTATAATATGCTTCTTCAATTTGTATTTACACTCTACAACACAGTATTACAATTAAAGAAAAATCATGTTTCTAAGACATTACCAGTTGTGTCTATTTTCTTTTCGATTATAGGTAGCCTTGGCCTACTAAAGAATCTTGCTTTTGAGTTATTTTCTTCACAGCCTTCATCAATTTTAGAACACTCCTTTTCCACATCGAACCTTAAATTAATAAAAATAACAAATTCAATAATGCCGCATAGCAAGACTCTTCTACTAATAGAAAGGCATACTATATTTCCATTATAAACCAAAGGAAAAGAGAGATAAAGGCTGTGTTCAGTTATCCGTGACTAGTTAAGAAAAAGATGTTTAGTCTTATCTCCTTTCCTTGTGTTGTTTTTTTTTTGTGTACTACTTGTGCTTATATATTACCTTCCCTCTTCCTCCTCCCTTCTGGTTAAAACCAAACCAAGAAAATGTCTGCATCACCTCCTCACCATCCCCCCCCCAAAAGACAGGTAAAATTTAAGAAACAGTATCGTCAGGCTCAATCCCAGCCCTATCGATCATCTCTATTAACTTTTGCCAAAATACCTAAGAAACAGCTTCAAAGCAATTATTACTGTAAAGGTGAGAGAGATTTAAAAATAGTCTCAGACACTTCCATGGTTACTCTGAAAAGCTGTGTTTAGGAAGTTATATCGAATAAATATTGCTGCTATAGTCCTATAAAACAAATACAGTAATAACCAATACTACACTATCTAGAAATACTACACTCGCTGCTTTTCTGTTTAGGACTTAATGAAAAATATCCTTTGCTTTCCACAATAATCTTAACAATATGAATAATTTCTATCTGAAATAGGCACATAATTTTGAGAATGTATCCAATTCTAAACCTTCTCAGGTGAAACTAATTGTTCTCCATTTTGATTCTGATCTTTTGCTAGCTTACTTTTACCTATTTATTGTAAATCAACCACATTTCAAAATATGTGCCTTTAAAATATGAAGTGAAACTTTTGAAGGTTTTGAAATTATCTTCAAAATGTTTTGAAAACACGATATGCTTCAAACCGGAAAATTTCTTTTTCAGTATACTGGTATTATCCAAAACAAATACATTACACGGGAAAACTCACAAACTGTAGTATTATCAGCATGCTAAAGCACTTAAAGATTGAGCACATAAAACGGCAAACAAAAATCCCAAAACGATTACTTTAAATGACACAGAGAAAAGAGGGATGAAAGAATAAATTGTTGCAGAAGTTATTTTGATATCCTATTTTGTTTGTCCACATTTGAGCAGGAAGACCCCAATTTCTGAAACATACATGCATGAAAATAACTGATATGCACAACTGTTTGTAAGAACAGCATCTTATGCAGACAAGGTTTTTGTAGTGGTTTTGGGGTAGAGTGAGACATTAAGAGTTTGATTACCCAAACCCCACAGTCTCTAGATTTAGCTCCCCATCGACAGCACTGGAAACTTGTGCCTCCTCACCCTGATTCTACAGCATCATATTCCAGATTTAAGGAGCTAGAGAGAAGCTGCTACAATGCAAAACACAGAAGTATGTGAATTTTCCCCTCTGTGTGCAACAATTCGGGGGCATCAATCTGTCACGTAACTTGGGAGGGTAATATGCCACCATTACATGACCAAAGAGTGTCTTTGTACCAGGGCTCCATCCACCCTAGGAATAATCAGTTACTGTCTAAACCTCTGATTATGTGTAATTGCATCTGAGCAAACTGATGCACCTGCCTCAAGCTCATTCTTTGTGGTCAGCAGGGCTCAGTGCAGGAATAAGGATTCATTAATTTTGTTTTTAATTTAGAATTCTGACTTTAGATACACAGAAGATCAAATTTATAAGCCCACGTTAAACAATTCTAGAAGTGCTTTCAAAAAAACCTGATAAATTAAGCTAATTTTAATCCCTTGGTTTTACGTACCTCCTTAGATTTTGTATCTTGGATGTTGAAAGGAAAAATGAAATCTGAAACAAAATCACTTTTTATTTGTATTTTCTGCCGACTTGTTATATTTCACACAGCTTGAACAAAAGTGTAGACTAAATTGTTTTCAGCTGTTAGCACCACAATGCATCATTTGCATTTTAACAGAACATTATGGAAAACCTACGTTTCACTGAAGTGTTATAATTCCCTGAAATGTTGACCTTAATACTATGTTTCTAGAAAATACTTTAAAAAACAGTATTTAATGATGTTCCATTACTATATAAATAGATAAGATTTAATAAAAACTTAAATATAAGGGATTTAACATACTTGTCCCATTCACTGTAATCCCGTGGCATGTTTTTCTTGTTTCTTTGTTTGGTTGGTAATTTTTTGTTCTGAAAGAGAAACAGCCAGCCTGTAAGACAATTTTTTAAAGTGGAAATTCACAGCCTTTTTTTGTTTTGTTTTGTTTCTGCAAAACATATTCTTAGTAACTAACACTATTCATGACTAATCTCAGCATAGTCTTGAAAACTTAATTCATCTTGCTTTAAAGCAAATCTTTATGTATTTGATGTATCGTTGTAATCTGAGGAGCTCTTCAAGTCTTACACTTTCTCTCCACTGCCCTGTATATGTCACAGAGGCACTGAATACAACTTTCAGATACAAGACTGCTCTTCCTAATTAGTATCTTGTGCTGCCATCTTCCAAACCATACTTTCAACACAAGCAAGGGAGAATTCAGTCTTGGGAAACCCCAGCCTTGTGATGAGGTGTTTGACACCGAGATTAAATCAGTAACCTTGTTTTAGGCTTGCCATTCTCAAGAGAACACAATGCACAGATTCTGATAACCCCTGGAACCCTCAAAACAAACTTACAAATGAAAAATCTGTTTGACTTCAAAATAGTGTCTGTACTTCTTTTGACTATTTCACACTCCAGTCAAGCTAATTCCCAAGATGATTTACACTCATTCTAGCTTTTAGACAAGCTCCATCATTGATATTTGCCTTAACTAGAATTTATCCTTAGGACCTTCCTGCAACAATCAGTCCCAATAACAGATTCGACTGACTTATATTGCAACCCATCTCCTACACTAATGGAACCTCTTTCCATAGCTGGCACCTTTTGCATTTCTTCTACCTCTGTCATGAGACTGTATTTCTGGTATGTCCCTCCCTGCTTGTTGACTTCAACAATACTTAATAGCAAGGTGTGGTTCCAAACAGGTATTCCACAGTGGAACAACAGCCAGTTCAAAATATTCCCCATCTACTCTGTCCTGGCTGTTCAGCCTTCCTCTTACCTTGCAATCCATCACTCACTGAGTTAGATCAATGTAATTGTTTGTAGAGTTGCAGGTTTACAATTATCTGGGTTCAAACAAACAATTTGCTAGAGATACAGCGCAATCCCTAAATATCTGTACCAGTTCAACTGAGCATGATAAACTGGACCAAAGAAACAAGGAGCAACCTCTTAAACTAGCTTTACCAGTGGTGACACTGTAACAAGGAAATACTTCTGCAGTTGGATGTAAACACCACAATTTACATAACGCAAATGTGACCCTTCCTGTAAACATTTCTGACTATCTATAATGTTAGGTTACACAAGCTTTTATAGTATATAACTTCAGAATTACTCTTAACGTTCTCAGTCTTTCAAGAAGCTAGACAAAATGACAAATAAATTTAGTGATCAGTGCATGTTTGGAGGAGGTAACTCCTAAATATGGCTTCCTGAAATATGACTTAGCATTATGTATGCATCCTGGTGTATATTACAAACGTTCTAATTTAATAAATATAAAATCTTTTTTTCAAACCAGAAGTCCTTAACTTAAATGAGCACAAAACCAGTAAAACTCAGAAGAAAACTCATAAGGTATTTATACTCATGCAACTTTAATTTAGGGAGAGAACTACAGCGTGTCCTTTTAAGGAATAAGGAAGAAGTGTTGACTCAAAAATGCACAATCTTTAAAATTCTAGGTCTCATATTCTTGGGACCATTGTAACCAAGTTGCGGCTCCAGCAGAGTCAGGAATTTCTCAATCAGTAATATTTCAGAGCATCTCATCCAAGAGGCTTTGATGAAAAATGTATGTTTGCATACTGTGGAACTAAAAAAAAAAAAAAAAAAAAAAAAAAATCAAATCTCCCCTTGTCATTTTTCTTGCCAGAACTCACAATGCATGGATCCCACAGGGTTTGAAATCTGGTGAACAATTTCTGGACCAAAGATCAAAGCACGGACTGGCTTCAGTTCAGGTGACACAGAATTTGACCTTGGTTCTCCTCTGGGTCCCGTGGGATGGCCTAAGACATTACTATTCTGTGTCAGCTAACCAGTATTCTTTATTAGTTCAGAGTATCCAAAATAACATGAAGGCTATATAGATACCATCACAGTGGATTTTTATAACATAAAACTTGGAATGTGTGTTGCATGCCCTGGACTGTAGCATGAGGAGGTATTTGAGGACAGAAATCTTTCTGGAATAGTATTAGGAAACTCTCTTTGGCAAAGGAACCTAAGTCTGCTGAAATCCCATCCATACAGTCTTTTGGAAATGAGTATCTCTAAACCCATGCTTTAGTTCTGTCCTGGAAAAAATGAGGCAGCAAAAGCAATAATTAAGCAATGTGGACAGTTAGGAACAGAAAAACTCAAGTTGTCTCTCCAGTCCTCTTTTATTTTGCAGTATAGATGTAACCTCGAAGTCCTGAGCTGTGTGAAAGAAAAACAGGGGTGTAAGACAGAAACTTCCATATTTGTTAAAGAGGGAAATATTGCATGAAGTTCACTCTTTATCTATTCATTTTTGGAAAATCTTCCCCATGACTTCACATCAATAAAAAGAAAAGAAGACACCATCTAGAGATACAAGCTATTAGTAGTGAATTAAAACTGTACCTAGATTTAGTATCAGCAAGAATATCTGATTACAGACACAAGATGCTTCCATTTACCAAACCTGTACCCATTGGTGCAATCCACTGTTTTAGGGTCAATAAGGATTTCCAGAATTGGCTTCATTGAAGATACTGAACTTTTTATGCATCAGATCAGATGAACATACAGAGTCTCCAATCAAATAACAACATAAAATTGTGGAAGGGTTTGTGGATTCCTTTCTAGCAGAGAGGAGAAATTTATCATGCCAACTTTATACTTGATACCACATTACAAAATTATGTGATGCCAGTGTAAAAAATAATTACAGTCCTAATTGATTAGCAAAACATGTTTAAAAAGTGTAAGATTACACATAGCTTTATCAGCAAGCAAGAAAAGAAATAAAAACTGATTAAGTATATTAATCTAATTTTTTTGAGATTTCATATTACAGGTATAAATTTAGCGTATACTATAGAAACAGCTTATTTTTATTCAGTAGTCATCTAGTAGTGGTATAACTGCACTGCTACATAGAAAGATTGAACCCTCAAACTCAATTTCAGGCCTCCCTTCTCTCTTCCAGGACAGGTTACAACTACTTCAGAGGCCGTCTGCTTGGACAAAAGGAATGGAAATCATGTACCACAGATAAGGCATAAAGCTGTATCCAGATTTCCTGGGTAATAACGCTAACACCTAAACCTTGTATGGAGAACAAAAGATAAAAACTTGACCTGAAGACTGTTGCATGGTTTAAAGTAGGAGAAAAAAAATATTTTGTCTGAATAAATATTTTGTCTTTGAATGGAGAACACATCCTCTTTAGTAAAACTGTATATCCTAGATTTCAAGCCACTTTCCACCATTTTATACTTATATTCTAATCTGGATTCACTGACTTCACATGCTATTGTATTTACCATTTTCTGTTCTAGAAAACACTTATACAGGACACAAATCAAAAGTAAAGCTACAGTGGCACTCTTCATCTCAGCAAAATAGGATAGTCAAGAGGAACATATATTGCAAAATGTGAAAGAGGACAGATAAATGAAAAAAACCCCTCAAAACAAAAGCACACCTTAGTCTCAATACTAACCACTTATAAAGCATTACACTGGAATTCCCAATCTCTTTGTATACCACATAACGGAGAGTGCCTAGTTATCCCAAATGTCTGCCTTGGTCTGATGTCTAAGTACCCGCTGACAATAAGGAGTAGTTTCTGACAACACAGGAACAGAAATCAGACATTTATTAATACATAATTATTCCAATAAAATTTGTCAAATTAACAATTAATAAGAAATATCACATGACCTGTAAGGATCCTTTCATAACATTTCTCACTTCCAAAAAGAAAAATCCTTCAGTGAATTTGTTGTAACAGTGTCCCAGAATTCCAAAGAAAATAGTGGGAATCAGACTGAAGCCATCCATGATAACATCTGACAATTCAAAAAAGTCCCATCCCGCACCTATATATCCCTCCAATAGCACTGCATTTAGCATTAGTAAGGAAAGCTGGTCACAAACAAACCAGATTTCAGGCAGATAAATACATGGAAAAAAACCATGAGGAAACTAACACCTAGGAAAAAATGTAAATGTTTATTCTGTAGTTCTGAGATTTGTTAAGTATGCTTTATGACTAAAGCTGGAATACCAACTCAAGGTATAAAATAAGGGGAATCAAAGGCTACATATACACCAGTGCAACCCAATACAGAAGTGGCTATAGAGTGAAACAGTTGGTGCAGAGGGTCCAACATCCACACTGTATGTGTTTCAGGGTATTTATTTTGGACTAGCTCCTGTCTGGTCTCATAGAACAAAAACCTACTGGCAGCTGGAGAAAATCTCCTAGCATAGTTTCATTCAAAAGGAACCTAGTTCATATGCTTAAGCATCACTTTGAAATGTGAATCAAAGAACAGAAAAGGGTGTTTAAGAATTTGCTCCAGAAGTTAGTTCTTGATCAGAATTAAAACATTGTTACAAGACACATGCTAGTACTAAGGAGGCTCTTTTGTTTAGGCATTAGTCTCTTGCAAGGGAACTTAAAGGTTTTTATTTTCTGGTTAAGAAAATAAATCTAGTAAGAAAGGCTCAATGATCAGAAGTTTGTACATATAAAATTTCCCGATTTTAGAAAGACAAATAATTACAGACATAAGAAAACTGGAGATACCTGATTAGCAGGAAGACAGCTACTGGAACAACGAATAGGAGGCAAGTTATCTTGTCTTTCATGCAGGGTGTCTGTTCTCAGGAACTGTGGTTTCTTATCATCTTCATTCATTTCTGCCACCCAGCTCTGAAAATAAATAAATAATGTATCTGTACCTTAAAGCAGTAGAGCAGATATACTTCACAGTCTATAATGACCCTAACAACTATCCTTATAATGCACTGCTCTTAATGGGAAAAAGCAATTAAGACAAAAAGCAATCGTGCTTTTTTGAATAAAAAGTAATCTACAAAAAGAAAATCTGTAGAGTTAAAATGGACATTAAAGATTCAGTGACATTAATTTGGTAAAATAATTAAAAAAACCCAACATAATCCTTTGATCATTTCCTCATTTAATCAAATAATTACATTCTACCTATGCACAAAAGATGTATCAATATACATCAAAGTGATTACATTACTGACCATTATAAATTAGAGTTATACCATACCATCAGTTCACCACTAATTGTTTTCCATTCTTCAGCTGTGAAATCAGAAGCTGTGGCTGCAGGCTTATCTTTTCTCAGAGCTCTGCTCCCTGGATCTAAATGCTCAATACGCTTTTCACAAAACAATGTAAGTTCAGGATAATATCCCTCTTCACCAGACCTTTAAAATGCAGACATAAAAGTTACAAAAGAGAACTAAGCTGCACTGCGTCCTCCATATTTTTCTGCATGTGTAGTGTCTGTGTAGTCACCACAGTGACTGCAGAGGACTATTTTCCTGTTACAGCTGAATTCTACTATCACCTAATAACATTTTGATCAGAAAATTCCAATGAGTTAACCTTCAACCATTTTCCAGTGGACACACATACACAGTTCAAAATTATCATCACAGTGCTCATAAAAAAATGCTCGTCATTTTCAGCAAACATTAAATAGGCATGGCATCTGAAATTACCACAGTCAGGCAAGACAGCTTCATAACAGAACCAAAATCCAGCGACAGCATTTGAGAAAAACCTGGCATTGAGTTACTCAGATCTTTTGGATGGCTAAAACAGGACTTGGATTTCTAGCGTTATAATTTGTATCATGGATTTCTAGCATTACCCTCAGCATAAGAAAGACACGGACCTGTTGGAGCGGGCCCAGAAGAGGGCCACAAAAATGATCAGGGGGATGGAACACCTCTCCTATGAAGAAAGGCTGAGAGAGTTGGGGTTGTTCAGCCTGGAGAAGAGAAGGCTTCAGGGAGACCTTATTGCAGCCTTTCAGTACTTAAAGGGGGCTTATAAAAAAGATGGCAGCAAACTTTTTAGCAGGGCCTGTTGCGACAGGACAAGGGGGAATGGCTTTAAACTAAAGGGGGATAGATTTAGACTAGATAGAAGGAAGAAATTTTTTACACTGAGGGTGGTGAAGCACTGGCACAGGTTGCCCAGAGAGGTGGTGGATGCCCCATCCCTGGAAACATTCAAGGTCAGGTTGGACAGGGCTCTGAGGAAGCTGATCTAGTTGAAGATGTCCCTGCCCACGGCAGGGGGGTTGGACTACGTGACCTTTAAAGGTCCCTTCCAACCCAAACTATTCTATGATTTGGACACTTTTAACATGATTACTTTAACTCTGTATTTTAATTTTTCAACTAGAAAGTCACAAAGAGGTTCAAGACAAATAGAGTATTTAGGTACAGGTTCCTTCGAATTTTACAGAACAGGAATATAACTAGCAATGAAGTTAAGAAAATATAATGTTTACCTTAACACCCTGAGAATCTTTTCCAGGTGTTTCACATCTGTGCATTTTTCAATGAACTTGTAGTCCAGATGACCAATAGGTATTTGATATGTTTTAGTGGTTCCTTGGTCCAGCAAAAATGGTACTGACTGTCCACCCATAACTAAATATTAAAAGAAAAAAAATGTAGTGATTTTGTAAGCACTCAGTTATATTTTGAAGCAATGCTAATTTAAGGAATAACCCTGCTCATGCTCCGAAGTACTACTCTGTTATGCAAGCAGACCTACTGCCACAAAAGAAAAATTTCAAATTTGAAGACCTGATCACACAAACTGTTCTTGACAGAGGTTTACTGGCAGAAGTATGGTTATATATGAGATATATTTTGGAAAAAGAATATACAGTATATAAGTACAACTTTACTGTTTCTGCAAGGCAGAACAAGTCAAAAAGACTGCTTAAAGAAAAATTGCCAATTTTTGCCTACCACATTCTCTATTTTTCTTTAAACACAATATGGTATTACCTATTTTAAGCAAGTGTGGTGGGTATGAAGGAGAAGATGGTGCAGGACGCTCTTTTCTTCAGACGGAAGATGTTAACCAACTCAGTGTATCTAATGGAATGATAACCTTTCTCTGTAGCCAAAATAAATCTAATTGTCTTTCCTCACTAACTGCATTTTCTGGGCCCCTGATTATAATACTGTACTAATCTGAATCTTTGCCAGCAAGTCTGTAACTGATGAAGTGAGGTGTTCAAATTGGACACTTCCTGTCTCCCTGTACCTTTGATCTGCTTATCTGCATCCTTTTTCTATTTTGATCCCAAGCTCTGTAGAGCAGAAATTCTTTTTTTCCCCCATGTTATATAGTGCTTAAAGTGATCAGCTATTTTTAACAAGTACGACAAGGGCAGCTACCCAGTATGTGATAACAACTACGTATGGATATAAACCCGATTAAAATAATTGTGTTCTAATGTCTAGCATAATTACACATATTAATTTGTAGTTGCACAAAAACGTTTACAATGCAGTATCACTTAAATAATAACTGGTCACAATTAGGTACTACAAAAATATAGGATTCTGCCCCAAGAATTTACAGTTTCAGTACAGGAAAAGAAACAACATGCATGGAGAGACAGACGAATACAGGAAATAATTAGACAGGAGTAAAAAGCAAGAGAGGCACTCATCACAAAACTGCAACATTTTCCCCCGTTCCAGTATTTCCATAAATGTTGGGAACAGGGAGTTCCCTCGAGTGCCCAGAGCAGCTCTCAGGCAATGCAGTAAGAAGGAGACCTCGATCGCACGGGGGCACAGCACCGCCACAGCCAAACGCGCTCCTCTCCTCCGGCCAGCTGCGGGCAGCTCCCCGAAGCCGCAGCACCGTGCCCTGCTCCGCGGCCGCCGACAATACAACTTTCACGCCCCGGCGTCAGGAATTTACCTTAAAAACGACACCGAAGGCTCCCCTCACACCACAACCGGAGCAGCGCGGCCAGCGCGTGCCTAGCAACTGTTGCTATGTACAACATGGCGGCCGGCGCC